CAACTAATAAATTAATTGTTATGTATCTAGTCTATCTAATTAATATATTCCATGCTTGTATATATATCATACATATGAATACATATAATAATGTATGTATATATCTAATTTGCATATTCTGTGCTGGCATATAATATATATATGCATGAATACATAGATATATGTATGTATACATATATGTATCTATCTAATTTGCATATTCTATGCTGGTTTACATGGCCCATAAGCCATATATACAGAGCTAGGTTGAAATATAACTGGAATGAACCAATAAAAGAAACATGTAGTGTCATCAATCTTATCTCTTCAAAGGTCAAGTGCTAGAAGTCTACATGAACTTATCTAAAATGCAAGATAAACTTTGAAACCAGAAAGCATAATTCTTATTATTGATATTTGAACTGGATTTTCTTTATTGATTCAAAGAGTAATAACTTGTTTTTCCATTAAATTCTTGTAAATAGATTTCATTATACATTTATGCTGATAGACCCAAACTAAGATTCTCCTATCTATGAATTCTAGGACCAGGTCTTCCCCTTACAGATTCTAAGAGCTAAGATTGCCCTTTTAATTTCTAAGAGCTTGGATCCCCTCCATAGCTTCTAAGAGCTTAAATTTCCTAATCAATTCTAAGAGAGAGGATTCCTTTCATAATTTCTAAGAGCTACTAAGATTCCCCTCACCTATCGGTTGTATGAGCTAGGATTTTCCAGACAAATTCTAAGAGCTGGGTTTCTTATCAATTCTAAGAGCTAGCTTCCCTTTCAATCCTCAAATCTAAATAAATACCTTTTCAAAGCTCTTGAATCTTGAATTATAAATAAGTTGAGTTCAAACTTAATTCTGATAAATTCTTGAAATTTATTGGAAGGAAGAATGTACAAAGTCGCCATGACACGGGAAAGGTAAAAAATTGATATTACCGAATACCCATCATTTTTTACAATTCAAAATAAATCTTCAGTGATTCCTCAGGATCCGCAATTATATTGAATTACAATCTTAGACTACATGATCGTTTATGGACGGTGTAATTATTCATTGAGGTAGGACGACAGGGGAGCGATTTGCATAATGAAATCATCAGGTTGGCGTCTAAGGTCTGCTTGAATAAAGTGTACATACAGCCTTATTGTTTTATACTTAGCTGTCCTTACAGGAGAGGAAATAATACGAGCATTAACATGACAAAATGTCACCACCCGGAAAGATATTGCAAATGGTTATAAAAGTGTAACACTATGTTACACATACTGACCGATGATGCCAAATGCTGATCACAAAAATCGGTGCCTATAACAATTTGTATAATAATAATAACTGTAGCTTTTAAAATTTAATTGCGAGATTCTAGAGAGAACCAAAGAAGAACTAGAAGTACTGATGCCAGACATTATACTGAATAGAATTGTTAAATAAATCACAAAAATGATTGCATAAATTCTGATTAGCTTGTCTGAAAGGAATGTTACAGAAGACACCTTTATCATCCCAGAAACCACACAATACTACACAATTTTGGTGTGGTATGAATATTTCTTTTACCAAAGGAATATCCATAGCAACAAGTTGGGGCATTAAGTGGTTTCCATAACAACCGATACAAATATGTTATTAGTTCAGAAATACTTTGAAAAGTTGGGTTATATGGCTGAGGCAAAACCCTGCTAAACTTTCTTTTTTGGGGGGGGAGGGTGGTATTTTACATAAACCGTGGCCATTTGCTTTATCTTATATGTATATATGTACTATATCTTTAAATAAAAATGATCAAAAATGGTACATTATCTCTACCTATATCCTAGCCTGATTGGAAGACAATGCATCCAGCATTAGCTAATAAACAAAACTCAATTAATTCTAATCGATACACAGTCATATAGTGCTTTCATCAAGTTGAGCTACAGATCCTGGCCAAGTGCTAAACAATCAACCTCCATCCAGACCACAATCAAAATATTTTCATACGTAATACCTTTGACAAATTAACAAATTAATTATTTTTTGGAATGAAATACTATTTTTGTGATGTAAAACTCAAATTCTTGCCAAGAATTGACGTTCATCTCACCTATGATTAAAAATAGACAAAACACGGTAAATAAAAAAATCGAGATCAACCTAAAAAAATATTTACTTCAATAGATGACGATATAATTTTATCCAGATAAATCCAGTTATATTTTGACGTAATATTTTCCATCATTGATTCCTCTGTAAAAAATATGAGTATTTTTTCCTTATTTCACTATCAATGCACTAACATTCAAAAAACAATATCCTTCTTTCAATCCGCAAAAAAACAATTCTGGGACATTAAGTTATTCAAGACCCGATAACGAGACATTTTTGCATTGATTAATCACCATGCAAAGTGGAAAAGCAATATTATGCCAGAATTTTGACATTTATTTGCGTCAATTATTTCTACTACTGATTAAACCGAAACTCTTTGACTTATCGTAGTAACTTATTATCAAAGCACTTCAGTAGAAGTACCATTTGTCCTGTAATTTCTTATAGCAATCCTCTGCAAACCTGCCAATTTATACCCTTTTCAGTGGTTTAATTTGACTTCTTCACTCCGAATAACTCATTCTAACAACAGCAATAATACTGCAGGTCCATAGCCAGGGGGGTCGATGGGTTCGAGTGAATGCCCATGGCCCAAAATTCTTTCAAAATCATGCAGTTTTCACCATTCTGAGTACATGGCTCAAGGCTGAGAAGAAATGAGATTCATGGTATCATGGTTACCAGCATGGATCACATTTAGACCTGAACATAAGTTCAAATATTTGCTCATCCCTAAAAAGAGTATATTATCTTTACTATGAAAATGGGACCAAAAAGTGATGAAAAGTGTTCACATTGAGAGATGTTCAGATTATAAGTTTTACAATACTACATATTTTGCATAGTCTCAAAATGTCCAAATTAAGCACCTCAAAATGTCCCAATTAACCACCTCAAAATATCCCAATTAACCACCTCAAAATGTCCCAATTAACATTATATACATATGATATACAGCACTTTAAACCATAATATTCCATCAATCAGAAAGGTACTTTGAACTATTAAAGGCCAGGTTTAAATTGACAAAACAGCTGAAGTGTCAGGGGAGAAAGCTAAAATGATCAATATCTATTACTGAGATTTAGTGATAAAATCATGTAATTGACAGGAGCTGAATATATTCAAGCTTCGTGATATCAATTATTTACAAATTCTAAGCCTTAAGGTGGGACTGGACAGGTCTAGTCTCTGTGCATAAAGTTAGTAAGATTCTCAGCCTTAAGGTGAGACTGGACTGGTCTAGTCACTGTATACAATATTAGTAGAATTCACAGCCTTAAGGTAGGACTGGACTGGAGTGGTTTAATCTCTGTGCATAATGCCAGTAAACTACTTTTAAAAAATGCAAAACAATTATAGCATAACATATCTAATTTTGAACGCTAACGAGATTGGCTAAAAGTGTTTAGATTGGCAAGTGTTCTTACATCTTCTGTTCTCTGCCCACTTTCTACTATTAACTCTACATTGCCCACCTTAAGGCCATTTCATTGTCAACCATAAAATCATTCTACCCTGCCTTCCTTAAAGGTTTAAAAGTACTTGGATCTGCTCAGAGGAATCTGCTATTTTCTCTCACTATATTCTTACATATTCTGAATTTGAAAACAAGAAACATATTTTTACTTGATTGTTGGTGTTCACAGAACCATCTATAAAAGCTTATTGATGTAAAAATCTACAAAGAAGGCTTATACTGTAATATTATATGAACATAGACTTGTATCTAGTGATCATCAATTTTCACTTTACATCTCTCATCAACCTGGTTATCAACTTGGATTTCCAAGGTGTGAAAAATAACTAGAAGCAAATGGGCCTTTTGGATATAATTTCTAGAAGGTTGATATCAATATGATTCTAAGGAAAACTCAAAACCAAAACCTGTATCTAAGCTTACACATTGTAATTATAAATGTAGCTCCTGATTGCAGTTCATGATCTTCTGCACATGGCCCATTTTTGATATGATAAACTTCCGAAGACTCCATACCATTGATTCTTCAAGATGAACAATCGACTTTGAACTGAATTCCACAATCTGAATTATGTAACGACATATCAAGGCATGATTGCAGTCAAAACAGAATTCCCAAAACAACAGAAATGTCGCAGAATTACCCAAATTCTAAAATCTTTCTTTTTTTACAAGATCAAGAAACTCATACCTAAAAGAGGTGAACAGTTACCAAAATGCACTAGTACGTGCTCTACGGTCCCAAAAGCTACAATACCACTGAAATGAATCGTAAGATACATAGATCAATGCCAGGCTGAAGTTAACAATTGATTGCATGCTTTTCATAAAACACATTAAATCTGAAATGTGGTTGCGATCCATCAAGCAGAAGATCCTGTTTCTATTGATTTCTACCAACATACACAAACCCAATATTACGCTGAATATTTCACACCCTATTTCAATGTCAAATTCAATTTCCCTGATGATGTTCCATTCCCCAGAGAGGGGAATAAATGAGGTAGGACACATCTGGCAAGGGGGTTTTGCTAACAAAGGCTAATGCAACTTTAGATAATTTTCTTCACAATTTATTATTGCATGAATTCTCCATGTGCCCCCCCCCCACTGTAGCATACAAATGGATAATTTGAAATGTAAAAAAGTATCTTTTTATTCCCGTTAGTATTTTTCAATACTACTGATTAAAACGACCATGGTGACTGTTATATTATTTGGCACATTTGGCAGAACATCTTAATCGTCTTGACAAAAAATTCAGTTCAACAGATTCTTTGTCTTTTTTCCCGAATTTTCTCATTATTCTCCAAGGATCCCAGACCACAATAATTTTTTGTAAGGGCAATTTAGAATCTTTTCCAAGTTTATACTCACACTCACTCATCACTCACTGCAAGAGTAAATAAATTAGAAATAAATAACAAAAGTTGGTACTCACACATCGCTCTCTGCGCTACTGTTGAATTTCTTCCGTTCCAAGCTTAATTTTGTGGCACTTTTGGTTCTCTTCAAGTTGCTTTTGAATCCTTTTGAGAAGAAATTCTGCAAACACACAAATATGATACGTTGTAATGATACAATATTGTTTGATTTTATGATGGTCAAAAGCTCAGATGAGAGCACTCTTGTCCTGAATTTCGTTGAATTTCATGTAATAAAAAATAAGTTTTTTTTCTCATCAAGTTGATCATTGAAGTAAGTATATTCCACCACTCCTTCAGTGTTCCATATTGCCGATATAACAGATCCTTTTTGTAAGTGATACAGTCTAGTGCATATACGTGGCGAGCAGATCCATGTAAATAAACAGGAGCTAGCCTCAATCTGCGGCATTTCATCAGACTGTATATCCAGATAGTTTTACATGTAGTATATTCCACATTGCTCGTGTTTTTGCAACTTACAAAAGAAATTGTAACTTTATTACTTTACCAATATGCAGTGTTTTTATAACCTCCAACCATATACCATATATGAGTAGGATTTAGTCTATTGTTATCATACCTTAGAAAAGCTATATTGTTATAGAATTGATAATATAAGTAGTTACGTAGATTATAGATGAAGATCTATTTATATATGCCAATAACTATATCTCCTGCACACGAGATAATTCTTCCAATAACTTGTTGAAAATCGAATATGCCACGTGAGTTAATTATGCTAGGTGAGTGTAAGGGATTTCCTGCATTAAATCAGCCTCGCTGTATTTTCTTCTTTTGTACTGCTTTTTATAACCAATTTTAAATATATCTCAAAATGCTGTAAAATACAGTCAGGAAAAGCATTTATAGGTAGTACCCCAAAAATTTGTTTATTGATTTTGTATTTCCAATTCTGTTCCCTTTCCTGTAATAGAATTCAATTTCAATATTTGAAAAAAGTGAAAATGAAATAATATGAAATTAAATAATGTGAAAATATATACATTTAAAAAATGAAAGAATATATATGAAAATGAAATAATATGAAAATATTATCATGTGAAATAGAATAATGTAAAAATGAAACAATGCCTACAATGAGTTTTAGCTCTGTATCAAAGAAAAGGGTAAATCATTTGACATAACATAGTGGGATAAATTCAATACTTTCTTGGCAATATCTCAGTTCATTACAGTAGCCTGGAAATTGTATCTATTTATTACATAAGATGTTACATTGTTTATCGAGTAATAATGATTAGCATTTGAAGTTGTGAAATGTTGATTGATTTAATTAGCAACATGGGGTCAATAGGGGCCAGTCAATCAATGTCTTTATATAAGAAATTCATAACACTTCACATTCTTCATTTAGCTTACATGTATCACTGTATGTATTAACCATTGGTCTTGCTTCAAGACCCTGGACACTAACCCCCCCCCCCCCTATCTACTTAACCACCTTGTTTTCATGAGGCTCAGGGGCAGTTGCAAGTTCTCTTTTATACAGGCAAAATCCGTTGTGGGATCCACAGTCTAAACTATCCCTTGGAGGAGGGAGTTTATCTCCCACAAACTTAAGATAGACTGATAAATCAGAATGTGCAAAATCAAATAATTGAAAAGAGAAGTTTCCAATTGGCATTCTTACTGGACAAGTCAAACTGTATAACATACTCAATCCATCAACTGAATCTTATTACACAAAAACTAACACCAAGCATTTTTTAGAGAAGGTCAACTATCCCCAAATGCATCCACAGTCCCATCTAGCTGCTTTATGAGCCATGCCTGATAAACTTGATTTATTACTTAACCATAGAGTCAGCCATGTATGAAATATGACATCACTTGACGCATATCCTTATTAGGCAAACTGTCAAAGTGCCATCCCTGACCCGGAGATCATAACACAAGGGATACTTTATTCCATCTAAGCAATTTTCCGCCTGACATTGAAATTATTATAACTGGGAATTGGCAAATTAAGTTATATTACCCCAAACGTGTCCAGTTACCATATAAGTAAACCAATCAATAAGGAAACAACTCAGAAACAACATAGACACAAAAAGACTTTGAAAAAACAAGAATGCAACCAGACTTTACATTTAATTTGATTTACGTTTAACTGGCAGTGGGGGGGGGTTATATGTTGATTTGGATAAGTCAATTCATAGGGATTGTACAATTCCATCTTGTTAACCACCTTATCATTACATATACTATAAGATAGTAGAGAAATATGGGGGAGCGGAATTGAATAAATATAAGGTTAAGAGTCTGTATGTAGAACTAATAAAGACTACAGAAAAAAGTGCAAACTTCTTAAGTACAATCAACTTAACCCAACACATCTCCTTTGGATAGACTATTCGTAAATGCCCAACTGAACTATCTGATTTATATTGAGTTAGAGCAAAGATCGAAGCCTTAGTATGTACCATGCCTCTAGCACTCTCTACTGATCCACATCTTATCAATCCAACACTTTTATGTAGCTATGCTATGTTAGATCATCAGTATCTCATGAATTCTTTGATTAAGTTAGGCTTGTGATCTGCCAATTCTAAATATTTAGGAATCCGATAATCAAAATAATTATTCAGAAAACAAACAAATACATGAAGATAAGAGTTTGATCTGAGTTACCCTTGGTGTATCAAAACTGATGAATCAACAAAATTGATTTCGCAGATGTACATAACAAATTCGCGAAAAATAAATATGACTGGTTTTCACTTTTGATGTAACTTTACAGACTAAACATTTGTAATGATAATTTTGTATAAGTTGGAACTATTAAACAATCTGTTAGATCACTACTTAAACTTTGAGATAGCTACTGTTTTACAGAGAAGGTTCAGATTGCTTGACGCAATACTTGGTAACTAACATACCTTCAAGTGCTACCGATCTAGCCACAAAATAAATATTTAGCTCAGAAATCATTATATGTCAGAACTGTAACAGTTCTCTAAATCCTCAAGAAAGGAAACATTTCTTAGTTCTTTTGCTAAACCCATATTAACTGAACTATAATCTATAATCAAGCTGATGACATCGACAATATCATACCTTTTTAGGTATGATACAATGTATATTGCCTGCAACTTGTAGACTAATTTCAAAAAAGACTATGGGACATAAAAAGGCAATCTATGATTGTGAATTAAGGTAGAAGATATTTGGGGACTGTAGGTTGTAAGTCACAAATTATATGTGGTTTGCCATATCAACTGAGTTAACCCTAATGATGCAGAGAAATTACATGGCAGATGGAACATAAGGGTTATTGTAGGATCTAATCCTAAGGTAAGAATGAGGTCTTGTCATCCACATTTCTGCTAATGAAATGCTTTACTATCATGCTTTAATCCCATTCACAAGTAATTAGTGAAGTACTTTCCAATAATCTGATAGTGAAGACTCTTAATATATGAGGTAAACATTCCTTGGATCCATCAGTTATTTCTTGACTCTGAGAAGGGCAGGTAGATGATATTCTTTTCAATTTTAATCTGTTTTAATCCAAACATTGCTGGACATATGTTTTGGAACTCAATGTTACAACTAGCAATGTGATCTAAAAACTAAGGAAAAAAAGATGACATGATTTATCATGATAAATATATGAATTATCAATTATCTCTTGACAGTCAACAGTTCATGATAAATAAAAAAAAAGTAACATGATTTTCTAACCACAGGACCCTTTAACCTGAATCCACATTGACCATGTTAATAACTGTAAAAATCAAGATTGAGTCATCATCAAAACTGCAAATTATCTTTCTTAATAAGAGGGTAGTAATTACTTCTAGTCTCTGGGTAATGATTTCATTTGTCTTATTTTTTCAAATAGATTCTTGTAATAATTGACTGGATAAACCTAGATCCTGTTGTAGATTTGATAAGTTCATTTCACAGGGATCTCACACCTAATCACTGGAACAACCCCCTGTGTACAAAACACTCCATTCATCATAGTGATTCCTCTCATTCCCTCAAGATCCCTTACTCCTCAACTTTCCATTTTATATAAATTTTGAGAATACCGATTTCTTTCTATTTCTCTGTTGATAGAACAAAGGCTTGATTACAGGGATCACATAATTTGTGTTATTTTTGCAAAGGCTACAAACAATATCCATTAACTTAGTTCTTTTCACTTGATAGATAATTATCATCTTTCAGTCCATCAACTTTTATGAGCTCAATGAATATAAAATGGTGCTTCATAAATATAAAATAGTCGTATAATCCCATGTACTAACACATACAAACTGATTAATTTCTTCCTGATCCATCTTTATACTCACCCCAGTTCCTTCAGTAATATCCAGACTCGAATTTTTCAAAGGTAGAATTTATTCCAGAAGTCTACCATGAAGTACTTCCTGGAGTAATAGGTTGAGGAATTCAGGATGAGTCTCTGTGCCAATAAGATCCATATATTTGTAATTCATACTTCAAATTCATAATCTTATTCTGTATCAGTAATCCTATTTTTTCAACAATTCATGAGTGTGTCAGCGTTGACTTCTTATATATTATCCAGCCTGGTCTCTTATGATTTATGAACATATAATATTCAAAAGTGAACCATTTTCAGAAAAAATATTCAACAAATCATGTGTACCTTTGCATTCCATCATAGCACCCAGTTTATCAGAACCTGAATGTACTCACCAAGCAGTATAACTCAATCAATGCATTTCCATCTGAGATCATAAGTCATTAACCCAAATATAATATCCAAGTACTTGTGCATGTAGATCCCTTTTTCTGATATGATATGAACATGGATGGTGAACATAGCATCACTTACTCAGACAAGCACATGATATTCAGCAAAAACCCAATACATCATCACTGAGGTCACAGCAGCCAAAATGAAGCACCCCTTAAGTTAAATCATGTACATTACTTACCTTATCAATATATGTACTACCATACTCCCATCCCTATCTCATCTCTATGAGCAAGTATCCCAACATATCCATGTAGTGTTAATTTTATTCAGTCTATATGACCAAAATTCTAGCAATGTTATCAACCTTATCGGAGTGTTATCTCTGTTTTGACAGCCAATATAGGAGATAAAATATGATTATTTTTACTGGTATAGTGCCACAAGTATCTGAACGCTGTTATGGGGTAAAAGCGGCCCATACAATATTGCAACATCACTCTGCAGTGCTCATCAATAGAAAATGAAGGAAAATTTTGTATTTCAACAAATAATTTGAGAAAAAATTAATCAAATTGATGCTTTAGTATAAATATACCAGAATTTCAGAGTCTGAAGAAATTGTTCATTAATAGAAAATGAAGTAAAAGTTTGTTCTACAATAAATGATTTGAGAAAAAATTAATTAAATAAATACATCATGAAGTTTCAGAATGAATTTCAAAATTCCAGAATTTGAAGCAGTTGATTTAATTCTAGAGCCAAAAGCATGAAATCTGTACATGTAAAGACTTGAAACATATACTTGTACATACAAAAATACAGGGAGCTCTTCACCCATGATCAACTGTGAGATATGATAACTTTTTGCAGGTTACCTCCTATAATTCAATTCCGCTCAGAATGTTATGTTTAAATTAAGCCATCGCTGGTTCTCCCTGTGCAACCCACTCTGCAAAATTACCTCATTATTAGAATAGTTGCATTTTTTGTTTAAAAAATCTTCAGTGCTCCATCCTTACATCAGCAGCTGACAGATTGTGTACCTTTCTAATCATACTCGTTTCTTCTCAGTTTTCTGGCAGACTGAATGTTTATTTATAGAAGCTGTCCAAGACTAGGAAAAGGTAAAGATATGGACTTGTGAAGGTCTTCTATTGCTGAAGAATCCCTCCTGTCTGAGTTGGTGTTATTAGAAATAAGCAATAATTAAATCATTAGGATCACCAGGCCGGTAGCCAGGGGGGGGGGGGTCGGTTGAACCTATCGAACCCCCCCTGGCCAAAAAATCTTTCAAAATCATGCAGTTTTTCACCATTCTGAGCACTTTTTAAGTGATTTTGGCCATTTTTGGACCTAAATTGTCACAAGTGAACCCCCCTGGAATTTTTCAAAAAGTGAACCCCTTGGCAAATCCTGGCTATAAGCCTGATCACCATGTTATATAGTCTAAATTGCCTCATACAGAACAATGTTTTGAAGACCCTCTGATTGTGACTTATCAGAGTCCTTCTTTATCTCACACTTTACAAGAGATAGCATAGCACCTACAGGCTGTGGGTCCCACAAAAAGATCTTCCTACACCTGTCAACTATCCCATGTGCTATAACACTTGGATCTAACAGAAATGAGAGAATATATCATTCCTCATTAACCTGGGACTCCACTTACATCCAAAATAACACGATGCAATCTTGCCTTATACATTGAAACTGGTCTATGCAATTGGATGGAGAATTGTAGAATTTGAAGCATTTCTTTGGGCAATTAAACAGACTGTAATAAACTGGCATGTCTGATACAGAATCAAATATGGAATTCAAAAGAAAAATACATTTTGAAGAATTAAAACTACTTCTTCATAAGGTAGATGGGAATTGACTTGATGATATAAGCCTGAGGATATTATACTTATACTAGATCACATTCTTCCAACAGTGAGAATCAATATGATTCAAAAGTGAAAGACATGTACTTTCATTTTCAAGTGCAATTACGATTACCTATAGGCCTTGAGCATAATCAGGACCATTGACAAGAATAATGAGAAATCTGCAAATGACAATGACACAATATCCTGTTTAATCAATAGAAGACCTACCTCTCTTGGAAGTTTCAAATGAAATCATCCAACTTAGCATCAATATCAACTGTTACAACCCTGCCTTGAAACATCACCCATGTGGCAACATATGGTCAAGACAGATACAAGAAGGTAAATATAACCAATCAATAGATTCCTGTCAAGTTTTAAAATGCAAAAAACAAAGATGAAACCAGTGAAAATGAAAAGAATAAAGATACACAGGCAGCAAGTCAAGACTCTGAATTTTAAAGAAATTAGAATCAGACATGTTTTGAGAGAGTAAGTGGAGAGAGGAAAATGAAATTGTTGAAAATTGTTGAAAATAGGTATTCATGAACTTCTCACTTATTTTTTCGATATTACAGTTGAACAGGGCATGAAATTATGAATAATCAATTAGAAATCTTGTTTATTGACAACATTCTGGTACTCATCCCTTTGTTATAACAGAGATCCAATTGACATGGTAGACCATGGTGCTCCTTTCGGTAAATCAATTCTATGTAATATCATAATAGAATTAGCAAATAATCAATTATTATTTCTGCACCCCATTGTCCCCTGCCATAATAAATAATAGTGTCATCTCCTTAATTTAGAAGGCTAAAGAGAAAAACCATTCTCGTCTCCACATTCTCTTCAATGATTACAAGCTAAAAAAAAAGGATGCTACGGTACACAAAATTAAACAAACTGATCATACACTCCATAAAAACAACAATTGTCATACTAAACTCAATATTACCTGCGAAAATCAGCCAGTTTTTGACAGCTCTCCTACCCGTATTTCTAAATTATCCATTAAAGTGGAGAGCGGCTAATATCCATTTTCGTTACTCCAGGAATCTACTGAAGAATCGCAGAAATCACACGTGTGTAAATCCATTAATAAAACAGATTTCAACCAGGTAGAAATTCATTAATGTAACATGAAAATGCACTTGGCATATGTTAAAACAGCAGATCAATTCACAATGTTAAAAATCCCAGATAATTTCAGAAGTGCTACTGAGTGCCACTGAAGCCTGAAGTTTACCTGTAAATAATGGAACTATGCCTGCCTGGTATTCTCTGGAAACTGAGAATTTCAAGACACCAATTACAAATGCTAATTCCAGCAATGTGTAGTAGTCTACTGTATATACCAGTTGCTTACAATTCTGCATGTGATCTAGCTCTGGCTTGGGTCAGACCACCAATGGTATAGACTAAATCGTGACACTTCAGAAACATTTCAACATGGTCACAGCAAGTCTTGTCCAAGGTACCAAGAAAATCAAGGTTACAGACCAGATTCTGTTTCAAACTACATCTGGTCTTTATGGTTTCTCCATCATGAAAAAATCTTATAACTTGCCCCTAATGTTATTGTGATATGTTATGGTGATAAGTCACAGTTCAAAGGTAAGATTGATCAATGATCTGATAAAATAAGAATGGCAATACTCATCTATTTTTTGAGTTATGAAGTTATAATATGAAGCAAGGTTTATACAGAGGAGGTGAAAGTAGGAGGACAGTAGAGTAGTACCCTTTGTAAATAGTTTGAATTCCTCTCTCTCTTAAGGAGAGCTTCAAATTTTAATGGTAGCCTTTATACCTGGGGGTTTGAGAAAAAAAGCAAGACAAATGGATGCATGCCAATGTATACTACTCCTTCCCTCCCAAAAAGAGATAAAATAGGTCTAAGGGTACATTCTTCCAGAAGCATTACATGCACAAAGTTCTTGGGGTATTTATTTGGTCACACTTTGGATTGCATAATGTTAGGGTTTGTGGTCAGATGCCTTCATATGATGTTAATTAGTTTTATGTCTACCTTATCTTGATCAGATGAGTTAAATGAATACCAAGTTAAGATATGAACAGTTGTGACCAGATGAAGGAGCTCATATTTTTAGTATGGGGAGTATGTCAGTGACCCCCCATTTTAGAAATATACTACTATTACTATGTCATACCTAGCATGCATGTAAAAGAAGCGGGGTCGGTGGCTTATTCCAGTGATATTAAGGCGTTCGGATTTATTCCAGGTGTTTTTTAGTCTTGCTTCAAGACCCCCCCCTCCCCTGTACTTCAAAAACAGTTGTAATAGATGGGGAGGGGGGATCAAGGGTCTTGATGCAAAACTACGTGTTTTTCACATGCCCTTTAAATTAACTTAGAACTTAGCCTTAATATTGCAGAGGCTTATAGTAGAAATTACTGTAAATGAAGCAATCTTGAAAAGGGTACCAGGAACAAGGCCCTTTGAATACAACATATGCACCAGTACACAGGGATGTATTCATTATTAATGCATTGCTCCTCTAATTATGCCACATCAGTGTTCCTGGTGAGTGTTTTATTTGATATTTATGGTGCCTGTTAATCTAAGCAATGTGATTATTTTCAGACCAAGCATTCCTTGGAGTATTCAAATATTCAGTATGTATATGAGTATGCAAGTAGGGTTTGACATAAGGGCTGGTATACTGGTCATTGTCAGGTTGCATTTGATATGGACCAGCAAGTATTTCTTATTTCGTATATCAAAGTTCCTGATTTTCAATTTGTCTTACAGATGATCATAACATTTAAACAGCAATAATAATATATATATATAAGATAATTTCACAATCTGTAATTTGAGATATTTTTACATTTTCTCAGTTTAGTGCACATCTTCAAAAATAATTCCAGTCATTTGCGGCATCAGTTTGAGATGAAGAATACATATTAAAGCCTCCAGTCATGAAATATGATGAAGAATATAAAAATACTGGGATTTAATGACCTGTCTAACACTAGTTTCAATTGCTCTACTGGATCCCTTCTAAATAATTGATTTCCGGATTAACTGGAAGAATAGTATTTGTGATGCAATTGGTATTCTCCTCATGGGATAACTTCATCCGATGAATGCCATCTTATCTAATGAAATACCTAAAACTGGCGATAACCCAAAATTATATTCTGAATCTACCGAACCACAAAACAGTTCTATTCACAAATCACTCTCAAACCAACCACAGAATTGTATGAATAGAAACATGAGTAATTCAAAAAGCCCATCAATTTAGAGATTACATCTAGCCACAATTGCTGATGATAATATTTCAACCATGAACATTTCTGGGTTCTCAGGTGTTTCATGTTTCCTTGGGTGTTTTATGTTTCCTCAGGTGTTCAATGTTTCCTCAGATGTTCCATGTTTCCTCAGATGTTCCATGCAATTAATTTATCCCGAATAAAAACATTGAGCAAAGTACATACATTTACTAATTAATTTTGTACAGGTTTCCAGTCTCACTTACCCTTTTCAAAAACTTGATTTTGTAATTTCATTATTCTCGCTACAAGCCCTCAAGAAACCTCCCAAATACACACTTCCCCACATGTGATGTGTTCTATGTTCTTACAAGTGCCAAAAGGAAAGGAACAGAAATTGTTACAGAATCCAGCAAGAAAATGAGAACATCTAAATATACACGTGAATTCCAGGAATTTCAAGAACAGTTTTCTATATAATATGTCCAATAAACAGGACAGCTATAGTATAGTCCATAAACTAGCTCATAAGGATTTCGATTTAAACCTGGACCTTGAAGGTCATACAGGCTTTGGATCTCACAACACAATGGCTCATAAGTATGATTAGTTAGTTCAGAGGGAACACTTTACATATAGAACACTACAATATGCTTGTAGTCTATTGTTGTATGCTGCATGCAAATGAGCAAACCCGGCACAAAAATGTCACATGGCTATACCTTTGAAATTCAAAATAGAACAGAAGCAGAAATTAGCAAGGGATATTAAGAACGAATGCAAAGGGTGAAAAATGAACAAAAACACTCTAAACCACATTAGCATCAAAAATGAATACCGTTGAAATAATAGAGAAAAATCGTGGAACAGGCATGATCAATGAGAGAATTAAGACATGGGAGAATATCACAATAATCAACCTCTCATCTCTGTCAAGGGGATTGAAGAAATTAATGTCCATTGATGGGGAAATTAACACAGAGAAAGCTCATTAGAACAGGATAGTCCTATTGTGTTAACCCAGTTCATAAGATTACCCTTTGAAAAAATACATATTGACTAATGAGTTCTAATATAAATACTTTATTTCAAAATATGTAAAAAATATCAACTTTTCAGGATTTATTTCCTTAATTTGCATCCCTTACAGAAAAATCCTTAAGCATCAATCTATTATAATGCATAATTATATAAGTGTAATATTTTTTATAAGGACTTTGAATAAGTAACCCAGATTTACAATATAAGGTAAATGCATGCAAAATGTCTTGTTTCTTTCTTTACAAAAGCATTAAGAGATACAAATCGACAATGTGAACATGCTATAGGCCTGAAAACCTCATCTAATTTTGGACATTAATAAAACTGTTTATTTAGAAACAATGTAAAGATAGTTTCTTGTATTTCTTGACCATATTGATTATATGAACTATTTTGCAAGGGCTTGCATTCCACAAGAGATGAGTAGTATATAGGGTAAAGGGGTATCCCTGAATATAAAACTACTTAAAGCTATAATCAATAGCATGTCTTATTATAGATACAACTAAATCATCTAATATCATATAAAAATCCCTTCAGAATTATACCCTTTGCATTCGTTTGACTTCACTTCTTAAAAGAGAGCTTCGTCTTCACTATTTCAAACTAAAATAAACCCATGAACTCACTGCGCCAATCGAAGTTCGTCGGCCAAATTTGACCGACGTTCTATAGATGGTCATTCCTTCTGACGTCAACGTTGAGCCCGGAATTGACCAATGACATGCGCATATTAATTAGAATGCATTGGCGTATGTTTAAAATTCAAGCTCGCTGATTGGTGGAAGAAAGGTCAGCGCGTAGGTCAGAAGTGATTTACTACCCAAACTGTCACCGGTACCCGTCATGGGGGCGGGGCTACTAAACTGTAATATGGTCTCTACTAGGCAGAGTGTAGTTTAACTAGACTCTGCACGCAGGGTATCAGAATTATTAACTCATGTAAGATACATAAACTAGTAAAATCTAATAGGAAACAATTCAATAACTGGAATTTTATTTGCTTATTGGTGGATTTAGTACAGTAAAACCTGTATATATGAACACCTCACTTATCTGAACACCTTTCAATATAACACTTTTTCAGTCTAATTCCTTTAATCTGCCATAGACTTCCATATCATGTTGAAAACCTCGAAATGTGAACACCAGCTCATTGTGTTAATCATATCCGATACGGGTTGATTTCTAAATCTAGTCATGGACCTTTGGATACAGAGAAGGAATAGATAGAATATTAACAATAAAAATTGATAACAAGAAATATGAAGTTCAATGATACTTTTATCATTAACCATTCACATAACACTGTACAATGAACTTGCAGAATCATAGATAATGCGAGAAGATACACGAAGTGAGGCACTTTACTGAACTGAAGAAATCCTTATTGAACTCACTTGGTACCATAAGACGGAGTCTGTACCTCTGTATGCTTTTTCTTACCCTTTGCATTCGTTTGACTTCACTTCTTAAAAGAGAGCTTCGTCTTCACTCTTTCAAACTAAAATAAACATGTGAACTCACCGCGCCAATCAGTGTTCGTCGGCCAGATTTGACCGACGTTCTTTATATGGTCATTCCTTCTGACGTCATCGTTGAGTCCGGAATTGACCAATGACATGCGCATATTTAATTAGAACGCATTTGGCGTATGTTTCTTCAAGCTCACTGATTGGTGGAAGGTCAGCGCGTAGGTCAGAAGTGATTTACCCAAACTGTCACCAGTACCCGTCGTGGGGGCGGGGCTACTAAACTGTAATATGGTCTCTACTAGGCAGAGTGTAGTTTAACTAGACTCTGCACGCAGGGTAGCTTTTTCTACATCTTATCAAGTTTGAGCTCAATGATCAATGAAAGGAGCACAACTTCAAATGTATCAGTAACACATCCCTGTTTCTTGTTATCAGAAACTTCTACATGATTAATAATAGTGAAATTAGAGGTATTATATAAAACTGGCGCCATATAGAGCTTCTGTGTATAATCCAGACACTCAGATCACCTGTAGTTACTGTAAATACTTGTATTTTAGCAATGGGGTAAAACACCATGGGATTATTGGTAAATGTGGTTACAAATCCACTAAATAAATAATATTTTATATTTATATGAAAATTATTATAAAATAAAAAACGATGACCTAACTGGGCAAGTTACTGTATCTATCAAAAGCGGCTATTTTCAAGAGATAATAGCTGAATAAAAATCTTGCACATTCTTGTTTCATTCAGAAACTAGAATTTCATGATTATGCAATTATACAGTTTTCTAAGTAAAATACAGTATTGAAAAGGATATACAGAAATCAACATCAAGGGTTCATTAGAATTTCTCACAACAGGCTAAATAAATGTAAACAACAGGCAAAATTAATGGAAATCATAAATTAAACATGGAAAAGTTGAAAAGTCCCTAAAAACAACAGGTGATTTTGTGATAACAACCAGTGAAAATCGCCTGTTGCCTACTGCTAATGAAACCCCTGAACATGTACCCCATTTCGAGAAATATAAGAAATGAGGATCATAAGAATTCATAATATTTTGACCAGTTTTTTGACACTATTAGTCAAAATTAGAATTTTGGCCCTGAACGATATAAAATTGTAAGTAGGCCTACTGTAGAATAGAATATTCACCTGAGCAGGTAAGTTAACAGGTGTTAATTGGTCTAACATACCTGCATCCTTCAACAGGAATTCTAATTTATCATTCAGTGTACACTTCAGTGATCTCCCCAGTGGGCGCAGCACCCACCTGAGATTTTGAAAATAGGCTTGCCACCCAGCCACCACCTAAAAATCCAGTTGCATCCACTTGAAAATGAGAAAAATCATGAAAAATTGGTATATTTTGACCAATTTTGGTCTAAGTTGTAAAAATGAGAATTTTGCACCCACATGAGAAAAAATACTGGGGAGATCACTATACTTACTTAACTAAGTAGAAAGTACATATTAATTTAACACTATATAAATATTGCGTATGCAACCATCAAATTATTATTTCAAAGTTGATTTCAATTAAAGCTGAACTTACCGTAATCAAACAATATCAGTTAGACACATTCATGAATCCTACTATTTTTCATATGATAAATTATCAGGATTTCTATTAAGTTTTTTCTGTTTTCAAATGTTGCCTTTACGCTTTGAGATAAATCAGATGATTTTGCTACAAGAATTTTCTAGTTTCCAACAAATACACTGTTGTCTTGTTAAACAAACAGCATATTACTGTCTCTGGTAATACCGTCTATTCATTCCTTTGCCTGGCTCGCCTGGCTGTTTGTTTATTCCCGTAGGTATTGATGCAATTACGGCAACGGTCTTACCTTAATTAACTTATTCTTCCCATTAGTCCATTGTCCACTATTTCCTATACCCTAATTACCCCAGTGCTCAATTGTATGGTGAATGACATTTAGATGTACTCCATGAAGTGTCTATGGAATCTATACAATATGAACTATCTATCATTTTTTTCTATTGCATGGCTGATAGTGAAGTCCCAATACTCCACATTCAATCGAGTCAACCAATAATAAACCTCGCAGATATTATTAGTTCATGCAGGGACAAGAGGGTTGCAGATGAATTTCAAATTAACAACCCTCCCACTTGAGTTTATTTAACAAATTAGAATGTAACAGCACTGAGGGCAACCCTTCTCAATGGTTCAATTTCACTCTGTATATAATTACAAGACTCTTGGCATGGGGCACCATTTTAAGAATCATAAAATAAACAAGGCATTACCATGCAAAATGTCACCACCTGTCATTTGTTGCAGACACTGACTGCTGAACACCAAACACTGTCCACAAAAATATAAAAAGCCACCACCATGTGTAATGCTTATTTTCTAACAAACCTATCAAAAACATGTGAGCAGATAACCCAGGTACATACATCTATGAGATAAAATATGAAGATTCCCAAAAATTCAACATTTAAATGCATAATTATTTTCTGAAGAAGTTTTTCTTCAGTTGATTCATTTTATTTAAAGTGATCTCAGCAGCTGGGTGCTCCACTCTGTTGAAGAACTGAAAATTATGTACGACCATGTTAAAAACCTGTTCTGAATTTGAAAAAACTGGTAAAATTTGGATTTAGCTCCCAGTTAAGAATTATGATGAGGGATTATTGGGTTTACAGGTGATTCATTTAATTCTTTGCAAAATACAAAGTTTTTTACTGAATATGATATGATCTGACAATTCCTGATTGGCTCAGGTGCTTATAAAGAAAGTAATTAGTTCATTCCTAGAAATCTGATTCAATGACAACTATATATGAGATCTACTTTTGTTTCAACAGTATTGTTTTACAGCAAAAAAAGAAAAGGCATTAACATGCAAAATGTCACCACCTACCATTTGTTAAACCAAATGTCAATTACCAGGCATCAAACACCAACCCCCGAATGCCAACTGCCAACCACTTTACAAAAAGGTAGAGCTATTAACAAATGTCACCACTTCTGATGGTGACATACTGAAGGTAGAATCAGGGAGAATCAGGGAGAATTGTGAAGGCAATAATTTCCTAAACTTAAGGAACATATTTGACCAAAGACTTGATTCAAATCCTTGTACCTGGCAGGTGAAGTATATAAGGGGGGGGGGGGAGAGCTGGTTCTGAAAGACCTGACTATTTGGCTCACAATATTGCTTATCTTGCCATTTTCCCAAAATCAAAATCCATAATTGGAAATTGATGATTTCCACATCTTTTCCACAACATTCCTCCATACATGCATACGTACCCCGCACAGGTTCAATGATGTAAAAACACAACCACATCATTGAACCTGTCCGGGGCACTATATACAATGAGCCACATCGATTCTTTTTTTAAAAAACACAAGACAATTCTGAATCTTTAACCTCCCCTGGGCAACATTGGATAAAATATCATCAATCTTTTTTATGTCATGTTTGCGACTCACGGGTGAATCTAAAACACATGAACTAACCAATAAAGCGATATTGCATCCCGACCGTGAAATCCTGTTAAAGAGACTTTAATATGACACGGTTTCTTTATAATATATTCCAATGTAGCACAGCTGTTCTTTCATCATTAAAACAATAATATAGCTCTACAAATCATGTTTTATTATGAACCAGTAGCAAAGAAGAATCATAAATGATATACACTCCCCTCAATAAGTTTTGTAACTGGAAGTTTTCATTAGATAGCATATTAAAGCGTGTAGATGTTTGTACACTCCCCTCAATAGGTTTGGTAACTGGAAATTTCCATTAGATAGCATATCAATGCCTCAGCGTTTGAATCTTAAGGATGCAGTACCGGGACGGTTTTCACGTCTGTTTGCGCAGGTTTGACTTCCGGTTTGAGAAAGCTAGCTCCCAAGAACGTCATTTTCGCATTTTAGTCAAACATTTTATCAAGCATATTTTATCCCTTTCACTTTTATGGGAAAACTAAGACTTGTTCTTGAGTCGCAATTAGTGGATACGAAAACCAGGGTTCGAAAGGTGCCAGCTCTATTGAAAACTCAAAAAACTAAAAAGATTCATTTTGGGTGGGTAAAATAATGTTTTTATTTTGTAATTACCAGACGGTCAATCCTCTTCATATTGCACTTGGATGATGATAACATCATAGTGATACATTGTAAAAAATATGAGCAAAATCTAATGTCTGGAACTTTTTCTACGCTGACCTGGTACTGCATCCTTAATTCATAATATTACAATAGTTCAGAAAATGAAAATTTAAAATTTTTTTTTGAATTGCCAAACTTAGACAGGCATTGATAAGTGATACGAAATGGGACTTCAAGTTGCAAGACTTATGGAGGGGAGTGTACCTTATTGATGAAGGTCATATAACAACCCATCTCCCACTCCCCTATTTCTGCTTAGCAGTTGGAGAGTTGAAACTTAGGGTTCTGTAGAAAAGATTTTTGGGTATTTTAACCAATATGTAAACCCTTTAACGACTGACATAGATTCATTCTGAGACACAATCTGATACTTGGGGTTATAAGACTTGAAAGGGAAAGACCACAACATTAATATCAGGGTCATTTAGATTTAGTCCGGTGGCCAAGAAGGAAGGGGTCGTTTTAGGGTATAAAGTTTTTTTCTTTGCATATTCTGATAGTACTTGACATTCTTAAGTAAATTAAACAATCTGCAAAATTTTATAGGTTGAGCATTTTTTTCTGCTGACTCAGCAAATTTTTTACTTTATTTTTCAATTATTCTAATTTATCTCACTGAAAAATATATTGTGAGGTTATATTAAGCACTTATTTAACACAGACCTCTTCAAAACTCGACAAATGCATAAAATTATAATGTCTTAAAAAGTGCTGAGTCATCATTTTTTCTAATAATTGTTTTTTTGCAGATTTATATCGCTAATCTTAGAAAATCCAAGTTTTAAGATCAATATTTCACAAACTAATGCATTTGTAGGCAAAGGCAAATTGCTTTTAATTGGTTATTATCCCAGACATAGAGTGAAGTCCTCCACCCATTCGTCTGTTATCAAGATGGCCACCACTTTAAAAATGACGGGACTATTTCGCGAAAATATTAACTCTTTATTTTTAAACCAAAGTACTGAATATTTTTTTTAAAATTTTGGTAGTATATTCACAACATCCATCTTTTCCACATATATTCTATGTTTTTCACCCTGCCCCCCCCCGGGCTGAGTATAGGAGGGAGGGGGTGGGGAAAAAGAAATTTTCATTAATTTTGAGATCTTTCTGAAGTGTAGCTTTATTATACTCAAATGAAAGGCAATTTAGAGTGGATTGCAAATATTGTATCATTTTTCTGATTCAGACCTCGAAAAATTCAAAATGGCTGCCTAATGTAGGATTACACAATAATTTCCTGATCCATTCAAAGTATGTCTATATGGCCGAGAGGGCTTGAGCGCCAGCACGTTCAAACTAGGCAATTAGGTGCTGTAACCACGAGTTTGAGACGTGTGTGCTCCTTGTGTTTATTCATTTATACTCAAATTGAAGTAGATAACAATCATTGTATTGTTTCTAGAGTAGAAATTCGCTATTACTCAGCGATTTCTTCAAAGTAAGGCTATATATTTAAGAAATATAGACTGAAGAGCAGGTGTTATATCGACGATTACACCATGCAGGGCTAGGTACAAATGTTTTATGTACCCCGAACGACTGAAGGGAGTGAAGTGTTCGAAAGCTTTTGTGCCTAGCTCTATCATATGGGGTGTACGTATCCTAGCTTATTAGATATGGCATTGCATGCTCTAAATATTTAGATTTTAAGTCAAGACACAATACTTTAGTGATCAAACTGTTAGGTCAAGGTTATACTTGTAAAAAGTTTAAGAAATACTTTCTGGTCTTTGCTGCAAAATACAAGTCATTAATTTCGAAGTTTTAAGTTTTACAACTTGAGATGCTGAAGGATGTAGGAATTGTTTAAGAAATTGGCGCTGAACTCACAATTTTTTCAATTGGCACCTTTTGAGGTGGATCCCAGCACTGGCATTAATGGTTGAGAAATAGGGATCGAAACCAGCCATAGTTCTCTCCTGATGACCATTGTGAATTATTGTGTTTTATGGATTATGGCGATGGCTTTTGCGAATGGATGTTGACCCTTTGAAACGCCTATGGACTTGTAGACTGGATTTTATCTATCCCACATCATTTGAGACTGAATGCTCTATTTTATATGAGTACTTGTATCTACAACTATTTTTGATGTTATGAGTATTGGATATCAATTTCTAATTTTTTCTTCAACATGTATTGTAATGACTTCAGTATGAATGAAATGTCCCTTGGTGTTCTAGTCTTGGATTGTGATATTGGTTCTTGAATGGCGGGGGAAAGACATTGTTTCTTTTCATGTTAGATCATGGTTTTGGGATATATGGGGTTTGTTTTTCTTGACTGGTATGCACTTAGAGTTTGCTTTTTCTTGCTAAGTTCCATTACAACTTTTGGTCCTTTCCCTTTGGCACTCGTGCTTAGATATCTAAGGGGTGTATTTGTCGATATTACACATTATTCGTATTACCAGGGGTAGTGTTGAGGAATATACCCCAGGTGAAATTCTGATATATCTGTAATGTATGCCTTTTAATATCTGTCAATTTGATCAAGGGTAGAGTAGATGGTAAATAATCACATCATGCCATATACAGATTCATGAATATATTGTAGTGTTCGTTGGGATTTGCTACTCCGTGGAGTTGTCGTTTTCTAGTTAGATAACTATTACATAATCAACACTGTCGCTGTACTGCTAAACAGTCATTTTCTCCTGAAGCGCGCCATCCAGCCATTCACATTTATGGGCTTCAAGACTTCTGATGAGACACACTGTATGTCTTCTGGTAAAGCTCCTAAGTAATAATTCTCAACTTTTTCTCAACTAAATTGTGTTGATTCAAGGGCGGATGGATTGGGACAATCTGCATATTTCAAGTTTTCCAATGAGCCCCCTTGAAATTTCTGCAATCTGCAAACGCCTTAATTGTTGGGGGTAGGGTTCGAACTTCATTGCTGTTGTAGATTGTTTTAATCGCTTTATATCCACCACTGCCCTCCCAGGTGATTTTCGCTGCATGGTGGACAGATTCTGCAACTGATGGTTGTGGTTATGATGCACAAGAAGAATATGCTATATATATCATTCCATGCCATATTCATTTGTAAGATGTTTAGCTTTAATCATCATGGTCATCATTGTGCTAGGGTCGGATGGTTTCATGTCAGCCAATGGCTAGTACTTTGTTAAGGTGGCAGGCTTAACTGATTTCTCTTTCATTGTAGTCAATCTGGTAAAGTATCCTCCATACTTGGGGATTTAATAGCTCAATATTCTTTTTAGTTGTACTGCCAATATCACCAATGTATGGGTTGACTTCCATCCATTCCAAAAGGACATGTTTGCTCCAAAATTGTTTGAAATTATCTGTATCAATCTAGATACAACAGCAGAAGCCTTGAACTCCAGCAGTATAGTCCCAAGCGATATTTGTAGAGGTAAATAATTGTTGATAACTAAGTTGGTGATTCAGTAATCTCTTAGAGGGGAAAGATCACAATTGTTATTTTTCACACCTCTATGAAAATGGAATGTTAGTATAGTCACATTTTTCGTTTGGATGACATTTTTTGACAAATTAGTTTAAAAAGCATCATATTTTGTATCACATGATGACTTTATAAATTGAGGTACATTGAATATAATTGCATGTGCTTCTATCAAAATATGTACTATAGGTATTATCTTTTAACAAAGTTTTTTTTTATTGTAATACTATGTAATCAATCTCAAACTAGATATCAGCAACTCGCACAGATATTAAGACATACATACATTAGAGATATATAAGAAGTTTCACAGATTTAAGCATATGAGTGACCATTAAGGGGTTTCAAAGGTATAAATCATCAAGACAATACTATTTGAAATCTAATATAGTATCATGTAACACTACTTTGAAAAGATCTTTAAGTAATACAGAATTCCTGCTCTATGCAGCCATTTTGAATCTTAAGGCATGAATTAGGAAAAACAATACTTTAACAGTGACCTGCTCTCACATTCCTTCAAATTGAATATAAAATACGCATACTTTGAAGATCACAAAATTATTGCGAAATCCCACACTAGGCGGCCATTTTGAATTTCAGGAGGCCTGAATCAGAAAAATGATACAATATTTGCAATCTACTCTTAATTACCTTTCATTTGAGTATAATAAAGCTATACTTCAGAAAGATCTCAAAATTCCTGTTTTCCAGACCCCTCCCCCCATTCACGGCCCCTGGGGGTCAGGCTGAAAACACGCAATGTATGTTAAATTAAACCTTTGTTCTCTCTATCTCTCCAAAACACATATTTCTCAGTGGTCTAATAATTTTTAATGAATGTTAACATGTTATAACTTTCAAAGTGCCACGCCCCCTTTGAAATTAATTACATAATTATATGGTGCGATTAAAAAAAAAGCTCAACATATATGATTTTGCAGATTATTTCATTTTAAAGAATACATGTGTAGCAATAGAAAAATGCACAGAAAAAAACTTTATACCTTAAAACGACCTTTAGCCTGTCAGAGGTATTTGGCAACTGGACTAATTAGGGTTAGGTTGGGTGTAAAAAAGCTTACCACAAACTAAGAAGTCAAATAATGACTCATGCAGAGAATATTCCAATAACTGGTCTTCTTTATCAAATATTTCATGGGATCAAATATTGGAAATGCAATGAGAAACGGATTTACAAAGGAATATGGAAAAAACCTATATCAACAACAAATTATATGCAATTAACTGCCACACTCATACATACATAAGATAAATTCATTGAGCAGTTAAGCATGAAAGAGTTAACATGAGAGAGGATCTCCTTCAGAGGGTTGTCTTGATAAAAAAAACATGGTCTACAATCAATATATTTCACTAATGTAGCTGACTTGAATTTCATACAGTGTATGCTTTGAATAATAAACTAATAAAGATGTTCTATTGTTTGCCCATCTAAAAGGTTTCACCTTTTCTGATTTTTTCTCTTCAATCTAGTGAATCACCTCTGTTATTTTCCCTTCTCTTCCATTATTCAACGCATGGAGATCATATCTTCTTAAATATGCTTGCCTCAAACCCAGAGGCAAACAGTAAACTACAACTACAGATGAAGCCCTCTTTTAAGACACAAAATCAAATATTTCCAAAGGGTACTTCTCAATGTCAGCTTTTCTTCTAGTGATGTTACCTTCCGGTTGATTCTGATATTACATAAAATAATCAATTCACAACAATTTTTTCTGACTTGAACTTTCTTTCAGCTTAAAGAAGACAATCAATGATGTGCCACAAACATATGTTTTGAGATGAATTCATCCTGACATTTAGACAGATGCCATGTTTGCTTACAAATCAAGTCATGCTGAAATAAGTAACATCTAAAAGAAGAAATGTTGCGATATTTCACCAGATAAAGAAATGTTCCTTGTATTAACCAGAGGGTCATTAACAGAAACTTTGTAAAGTTAAAAATTTGTAAAATCCATTGTTCTCTAACTGTGACATCATCATATCCATGGTTACAACAATTGATTTATGAATTCATAACTTTGCTAAGTTTCTGCTGATGACCCCAGTAAAATAAATGTATGTATAAATGGTTACTTCCAAAACTTGACAATATCCTGACTTGTCATCTAATTTATTGCATCCCTCTGTCTTAAATGACAGGTGATGAAAGCTCAGTGTTGGATCTTAACCATGCAATATCATTGGAGATTGATAATGATACTGCATTCCATCTGTAGAGTTTGATAAACAGAAGGAGTGGCAGGTGACAATGCAATAGAAATCTAAACATATCATAATGAGTAACAGCACATGTCATGGTGTTCAACTTCTTCAGATAGTTGAATAAGAAGTGATGATAATAGCAGAAATAAAGGTTTGAGATGTTCCCCTCTGGGTCTTAAAGATGCCCCCTGTCAGAAAACACGAAACCAGTGAACATGATCGAATTATTGAAATTATCACATTTATATTAATACTATGCTTCATTTAATCTTACCCTCATTCTCTACATATACAGTAAAACCTGTCTAATATAAACACCTCTTGTTCCCGTCAAAAGTGTTCAGATTAGCTGGTGCAAACATCACACATTTTTTTAACATGATAGTCAATGGGAGAGTACAAAATTAAGGCAGAGAAAGAGTTCATATTGAGAGGTGTTTAGAATCAAAAGGTGTTCAGATATACAGGTTTACTGTACTTCTTCAGAATCAATTTATCACTAAGGCATCTAAGGTTCTTGTCTTATGTAGTTGGTATGCATGAATGACTCCGACTCCATGTCTATTGAACAGATAATACAACTACCCTAAAGAGAAATATCACGTTGGTTATGTTTTACATCCTAAAATAGAGAGTAAATGAGTGGAATAAGCAAGGAATAAAGTAAACAGGCATATAGTGAACACTCTAAATTGTATAGAAAGGCAAGAAAATGAGGGAGTTCATTCAAATTTTTGTGAGAAAAAGCATGAAAAAGGCATGATGATTTGTAAAAAATGTAAAAATGGAAGATTTATTTAAGTTAGAACTGACACCTAAAATATGGTCTTCCATGAATTGTATTTAATCCTGTTGGTTTTAATAATACATCTTTGCCTTGGTGGTCATTTCCCTAGGGACATTTTCCAAACACATCCTATATAATACAAAAATTGATACACAGACTAGTGATGAATGTTTAAATGTGAACACCTCTCAACGTGTTTAATTTTTGTCAATCTATGCATTCAACTCTGTAGATGTTTGATTTTAATATACCAAAGGAAAGCATTGTGTTCATTTCCAGTAAATGTGTAACATAAATGATTACAGCATAAAAACTGATTTCTTCACCAAATCCAAGGACATTGCCTTGTAAAGAATTCCAAATGGTAAATCTGTGTTTCTTTTATAACATTACTTCACATTTTATTTCACTAACTAGATTTATGTCTAAATAAAATCAAAGACTCTTATAAGTCATCTCATTTCATGCCTATTATATCACTTTATAGTTCTCTGATTCACATTTAATAGTTCCAATCAAATCAAACTTGCACTTTTCATTATAAAGCGCTACCAGGGGTTAAAATGACCTAACTCTATTTATAAGAGACAGCATACAGCTAGAAAGAAGGAGGGGGCATGATAACTAAGGGAGATAGGAAAGAAAATGGTCTACCTAAAAACCAACTTTTTTTTAGTTTTGTAACTAACTAAATACATGGTTAAGCTATTAACAAATCAAATATTAAATGGAAACAATAAATGGGGCAACAAAAAATGCCTTATTTGTAATTCCGGCGATATTGAAACCTTAGATCATTTTACTCTATTATGTAGCTCTTTAGATGCTGAAAGGGTAGCTCTACTGGCTCTTTTCAAAATGGGAGAAGTTAATGTACTCCAGATTTTCAAAGAGGATGATGATTTTAATATGATTTTAAAGGCTAAGGCAATTTACTCTATGTATAAAAAACGCAATCTTTTGATGTAAAAATGTTTTTTTTACCAAAAATTATAATGTACTCACATGGAAATAATGTGGTAATAAAAGAAACAATACAATACAATGTAGACATACATCCCATACTATCATAGAAACAAAACAAAGAGGTACACATCACACTTCGAGAATTGTATCATTCAAAATTGAGAATTAAGGTGGGCAGAAAAATATCCATTTTGTATGTAGCATCAAATACAAAAGATCCTAGTTAACTGAAACAAATAACTCACTGGACCAAACCCACCTTAACAACCGACTACAGTCTTTGGAGAGTTATTCAATAAATTAAATGTCAGATTGATTATAGTTTTGAATGTATCTTTGATTGTGAGAAATTAAGTGGATTAACTGACAGTTTGTTAAGTTTCCCGATTGACAAACTGTCTGACGATGGGACCAGGTATCATCGAGACAGTATTTCCCCATCTATTCAGTCATCAGACAATAATTTAATTAGATTGTCTGTCTGTGTGATAATAATTAGATATTGAATGATTTGTACTTTATAAGTACAGAGATTGAGATTTGAGGATATTATAATAAAAAGTTCAGCTTCTCCATCTTCAATAACGTGCTGCCATCTATGAAATATACTTGTAAAGAAAAGCATCAAGAGTGCAAATACCATCATTTGATTGGTTTCACTTCTCCAAGATAGAACCTCATACTTTTACATAGACCCATCTTAGATTTCCAAGGTATGATGTTTTCATCATGATTGAAAATCAAACTCGGAAACGAGTATGTCATAGACCTGCAACTCTTATATATATATATATATTGTTTTCTTGGAGCTAGCCTTATGTGCTGGACTTATCAAAGAAATCCCGTCAAAATTCAAAATACATTTTCTCAACAAGAACATAATGCTCTCCTTACTGAAATCCTGCTAGAGGTTGTGGAGGGGGTACTGTCCATGCTGACTGTGTCTTCATGAGATGCAGGGAATGCTGGGACACTACCTCTCCTGTCCTCTTCTCCCAGAGCCTTCTCATAGGATGTGTCTAGAAATACAAATAAAAATACTGTAAAACTTGAATATTTGAATACCTGTCTAATCTGAACATTTCTGCTGGATGTGAATGCCTTTTTGGTCCCATTTTTGAATCTGCTATAGACTTCCATGCTAAAAAACCTTAAAATGGGAACACCTGCAAATCCAGATACTTTTGACTGGTCCAAGTGGCATTCAGATATTGCAGTACCTATTTCAAAATGTAAACACATTTAAAATCTAATAGATGACTCATACATTCTTAATAAGAGGTTGAGTTACAGCCTTATTTTTTATTGACATTGGAATCTCTTTGAGGGTCCAGTTTTATATTGCAATTTTATCCAGTTAGATGTATCCTATTGTGTTAAACATCAGGGATCCAGAAAGTATGATATCTTTATATTCTGAAATAAATATAAATCAAATCAAATTCCTTGATATGTTTTGTCATACTATAGCTAAGCTCATAGATCTTGAGCTACCTGGCAAAGTTTTGAATCACAAGCCATTACCTAAAACATATTTTGCTGAGTCAGCTTTTCTTCGTTTTGGCTTCACTAAAATGTTAGTTATTAATCCTTGGTGGTGTTGTACTTCAAAAATCATACTGCATAATATTCTAATATTGATGAAACATAAAATCCAATCTTTAGTTGTCCATATTGACCAGACACTAATTTTCTCTATCTTAAAGCTATCCTTTTGCATTAAAAGCTCCAGTTGCAAACATGTGAATGATTTATTCTTGCACAATTGACTGGCATAAAATACTGTGCTGATTTAATTCTATAACACAGTGTTTGATTTCTTTATTGTATTCTTCAAAGGATCCAGTTATAAAATCAAAACATCTGTGTAATTTAATGACTTTGCAACATGATATCAACTCATAGCACACTCTAAAGTCTGCCTGGCTAATTACCCCTCAATTTATAATTACAATTACTGTAAAAAAGTCATTAAAAATTGACAATTCTTGACAGGCCTTGAGGCAGAACAATACCTGATTCAAAAAATCAGATCTGACTTTCTATTGAAAATTGATACAAAGAATCTCAATAATAAAACAACATTTTGAAAATAATAGATTCTGGATATACTCAATACATCAGGTGTCAAATATCTAGGATGATATCATTTTTCTGTCAGTTTTTTTATGTTCTAATCATCAGGGACAGATCTAGCTGATATGTAAAATTCTATGAGGTAGCTAGTGTCATATGAATGTCACTCAAAGCTTGATTGTTTCAACAGAAACCATGTTCAATAAAATAGCAAGTATCCTGCTAGCTCTTGATAAAGACAACTTTTGTTTGCATTAGTTTGCATTATTGATGTTTTCAGAATTAAAATACCAGCTGAAATTATGATCTTTGAACCATGTTAATAAATCATGGACAATTGACCATTCATTTTATGCACAGCTATTGGAAAGTGAAAACAATGGTAGAATTATGCAAAACAAATTAATACAAGATACAAGACAGCTTTAAACACTGGTCAAATATTAAGGCACTCATAGAGCAATCCATCTTTATTAGTCTGGTATCAAGTCCTGGAATATAGACTCTAGCAATAAAATATGTAGTCCTGTACCCTTCAGCAAAAACTGGCTAAAAGCTGGCCCAGTTTCAGGGTAGGAATTATTTGCACAACAATTAATGTGATCTAAGAGAGAGAGCCTGGCACCTTCTTGAATTTGAACTTTGGATAAAGACATTAATGAGCGATGACCTTGGAATGAAAAACCAATCTATTGTTTTGTCTAAGAGCAACCTGTAATACCGAAAGGCAAGTGACAGTATTATGACACATGACAGGTGTATCAAACAGACATTAGATGTCAAATATATCCTACATCTAGGGCATGTTCGCTTATCAGTTTAATTTTTAAATCTTGAAAATCCAAGTTGCATCCTGGGGCCATCATTCCTCAGTAAAGGCTCTTTAAAGAGACAAATGCTTAAGATCAAAATTAAATATAACACAATGGCCATCTATAAATCAGCAAAATCAGAATGTGCAACTTTAAAACAGCAATTTGTAAGAAAAAATTTTAGATTTCAAGACTTATTTCTGGCAATGTTTTTTCTTCATTCAATGAAATTCAGCCAAAGTTCAACATTCTTTGTTCTAATATCATGGAAGCTTTTCAACATGTCACACCAGTTAGAATCCCAACATATTATTGATAAATTAATGTCATTCTTGCATGTTAACGGTAAAAGCCATGATGTTCAAATGAAGTGAATTTTCCTTCTGAAACTGTTCTACAAAAGCTCATATATACCATTTACATATTTTGATAATAATAAATAGAGGTTATTTAATGGGAGGGATGGAATATGGATTTTATTCCGAGGGAAAATATGATATTGGCCAAGGAAAATATAATATTGACCGAGGGCGATAGCCCGAGTGTCAATATGATATTTTCTGAGGCCAATATCATATTTTCTCAAGGAATAAATCCATATTCCATCACGACCATCAATAACCTATTTATTTCATAATATATTTTTTTCAATTTTAATGAAGTCATCAACATCCTCTGTTGCATACCTAGACATATTTGTCACAGTAATAGACCTTTGTCACAGTAATAGACGTAAACTAGATGATAATAATTTCAATAATTTCAATTTTCCAAACGATTTTTTTACTTCCTGTAGAGATGTGCTAGACGAAAAGCGTAAAACTCAAGAGAAATTACCGGGAATATTTCTGATACGGGATCTGATACAGGATTTTTGCTGATACGGGATCCAATACGGGATCTGATACGGGATTTTGGCTGATACGGGATCTGATACGGGATTTTTCAAATAACACTTTTATTCCCTGTTATTTTCCCAGGGAAAACATGTTATTATGGAATAAAAAGCATTATTATTATATTATGTGGTATACTTCATGAGTCTACCATATCACTTCACAGTAAAAGCATTTCCAAAAACAGATACGTAAGAATGTTTCCTGGTCATATCTCTATTATTATGATTTCCATTTTCAAATTGACTCTATATACATTTTCTATCTAATGAAATAAATTTGTTGAATTGCAGATATAATCGTGATAAGATTTTTATTTTCAGTAATGATATTTTCCCACCTGTAAATTCAAACCACAATATCTGTAGATATCAATGTACACCTGGAATGTATTTTAACAATGGATGGTTTAATTAAACAATGGAAGGTTTAATAGAGGAAATAACTTAAATGTTATCATTGCTACTCATAGAGATAATCCCTAAAAACAATAGAAACATTAAAAATTGTTAACTAATAAATGCTGTAAAAATACAGATCTACTGATGGTAAATAGCATTTATAAATAGATCCATAACGTAAATAAACATTTGATTGAAAAACAAATAAACAGTTCAGAATTGATGGTGATACAAAATGAGTTAATCCCAACAAAACAATAAATATGATTATAAACCAAGATGTCATGAGTCATTTTAATGATATTCTAAACACCATCATTTGCTGTCCAAATGATATGACAAGCCCCCCCCCCCTCCGTGAAGTATGTTCCTTACATATAAGGAAAATTAAAGAAAGTATACAAGATGTACAAGGAAATGAAAAAGGGTGAACTTGAAAATATGGACACATAGCACTTGATATTACATTGCTACTAAATCATTTTTCAAGAACCATGCTAACATATATCAAGGCAAACAAAGTAGAATTTTCTGGATTGGTAAATGTTATGTTGATTTTAGCAGCCCTGAAAGCTACAAGACATTTTTCTGAGGTGACTTCTGATCAACATTTTGATATAGCCAGATTATATCAGCTAATTAGGGAGAATATCTCTTGAGTCAACATAACATGACAGCTGATCCTGCTACTCTAAGAATTTGCAAATCTTCTAAATTCCAAATTCTCCAGGGGCGCCTTGGTCTTGGAATCAGGTAGGCATCAGGTCATGAGCATTAGAAGAAAACATTTCTTCCAGTTATGTCTGTCTGTAGCATACCTTGATCAAGGGGGTTCTTACTTTGCTGTAAAGTCTATACTTTGAAAAACATTTGTAAGTTCTGCCAAAATATACCAAATTTCTCCATGTCTTATGTTCTTCAGCATTCTTAGTACAGAACATCTTTTAAAAGTTTTGCATCTTGATTCAGTGAAGCATATGAAATACGAGAGAAAAACAGATTTTTAGAAGGCTTAAAAAGCAAGATGTGCCATCAATACAATGTGAGACAGTACACCAGTAATAAATAAATGAATTCATGATTTACTATAGAGCTATACCCCAATTATTATAGACAACTAACAAAGCATGGTGACCAAAAAAATGTACTGTCTCCCTAACTTATTGAATGCTACTTAGTACTTGGAGCATGGTAGGGGGGGGGGGGGGGGGCTCACACTGATTTGATGGAAGACACATTTATCTGAATAAGATATCTTTGAACTTGCAGTTAGATTAGAATATACTTAAATTAAAAAAACAACAACTTGTATTACATTGCAGAATAATTACTTTTGTCCTTTTTTATCATTATGATTAAATTCCTAGTCTAAATGTGTCAACACCTTCAAATTAATGAGAATACTTGAGCTGGCACCAACACTTAAAAGTTAACACAGACCCAATGTTAACTCAAGTTCCAGTTGACTAGTACCCTTTTTAATTCAAGAACTAGTTAACTCAAACACTAGTCAACTTGAACATTAGTGCTGCCATATAGCCTAGTCAACATATGGGCTTGGTGCAAGACTATCAGTTTATTGTATAGTTTGACAATGATAGCGCTTTGTGCATTGTGTCATTGACGTTACTTTTTGGACACCCTGTATATATATGACATTCACTTCTACAGAGTGTCAGTATTATGTAGATGAAACTCTCTTTTAAGCAAGATGAAAGTTCCGAAATTGAAAAGGGTTGACAACCACCTACCTGTAGAAGAAGCAAGTTCAGAAGTACTCCCATGGCCCCTGAACACTTTCAGATGTTTATAAAATTTCTTCCAATTCATTTTATATTCAAACAACTTCCCTTTCGTCAAAAGTGTCCCTAGTTTTTCATAGTTCGAGTTCACTGTTGCAAACTTCAAGTATCATTTCCATTCACAACTTCAGTATTCTCAGGTCAGACCTTAATGTGTGTTCTAATAGCTTCCAGATTCGACCTACTCGATCATCTTTTTACAGTTGGATTGGTAAAATAGTACATCAGCTTAAAATACAACCGTATCCAAGGTGTTTCTTGATACTCTATCTATCTAAAGATTGGGAACAACAAGTACGAAAATTCCCAAGTTCCGTTCAGAGGTAAATCATGGCTTCCATCTGGGTTCTTTCACGTTCTTGTAAAACACTAGGTTCACTCTTCATGATTGTTGATAAATACTGTCAGAGTGTTTTATAAAAGTCCCCCTTAATAATATTATCCTGCTAGTTAGCACTTTCACCATGAATTCCTGGCCTCCAAAATCAGGCTAAATATTCCCAAGAAAATATTCTGCAGCTTAGGGTTACTCTCTAAATGAAGTGGCAAGTAAGTCTAACTTACAAGCAACACCCTAAAATAAAGTTCCAGAGTAGAACCAGTATGGTACCTAGAATTTCATCAAATTAAGTGTATCGCTCAATAATATTTACTGTTAGTTCAAAGTCTGATATTTTTAAATGTAAGGAGAGCTTTTTAAAAACATACCACTTAGTGCATTTTGGCATAGCTAGAGCCTGGGATATTTAAAAGAGCAGTGAGGCATGGGGTTATCATGAAATTATCTACCAAACAACACATATCAGATATCCACAGTTAAAACAAGTGGTCCTGGTTTTTGTAAAAATCAAACTGACAGTTAGCAAGGTCAGTCTAAATCAAACTCTAAATAAATTAACTCTGGTATGTCAAATACACTATTTACTATAGAGAATCCCTATAAAATTGGCTCCTTTTTCATTTATAGTGTCTTACTCAAATGGTTTGTGTCAGTCTCGTATCCTCAGGTAACGTTTAAATTACAGGTTTATAATCCATTTGATTAAACAATTCATTTAATTTGTTGCATATCTCTTGATTACTGTATAAATGATATCATTTCAATTCCAGTGCAATGACGATTTTAAATCCGTTATCTAGATATATATGTATCACCAGTAGTTCAATTTTCTCTCTTATGTTCACATGTATCCTTATTTTGTCCTTTATCTTTGAATAAACTTTATCCATTGATAAAATTGGTTAAATTTCAACTTATACAGTTTCCTCATTTGTTTACTTGACAACTTTTAATAATTGGTTCCATATAAATAAACCAAAAGTTAAAATTAATGTTTCCTTAATCCAATTTATTTTGTTTCCTTTAATCTTCTAGTTTTTTTATGTCCAGTTTCATTTGATTACAAACAATTACCTCCTGGTTTATATTTAACACCCAGCAGTTAAATCAAATTCTTAAATTGTTCTCAAAACATTCTCCACTTCTGTTGTATATGTTAAACCACTAGAATCATACAGGTCGCTTTCCTCTGAATGAATGGTTTCTATTCAAGCTTTGCGTTAAAGGCACCCTGTTCAAACATAAGTCATGTTTTGGCTAGTCATATGTTTATATCTATGACTTTACTTCCTAGTTGTAAAAGTAAGTGAATGGGTGTAAGTTCTATTACATAAATTACAATTTGGTGCTCAGCTCAAATCAAGGGGATCCTCTATTAATTTACATGGGTTAATCACCTAATTAATTAGAAATATTGTGGGCTAGCTAGCTGTAAATATGTACTTGGTCTTACTTCCCTGTTATAAACAAAAGATAAGGGGATGGGTCTAAGATCTTGAAACAAGACTTAGATATACCATAAGATCTGTATTGTAATCTTCAAACTGAGTCAATGACCTATATTTATCCAAATGACCTATTTATCAAGATGCCATCTCCATTGTGGAATTCACAGCCTGCACTATCCCATGGAATACCCAGGAGTCCTTCTCAAGCATAAAGAGAGGCTCTGATCAGAATTTGCAACCTCTTATTTTGACATATTTTCTTGGAGTTGTGCATCAGACTGTGGAGTACTAATTGCTCTTAAGTAATCTATTGTTTATAGAGAGCCTTTGTTCAAAGTTGATAAAACTTGTTTTAAATTAGTTAATTCACAACAGCTTGCTCTAATCTCTTGAATCCTTCCTTATATAAGACTCCTGGGACTGATAAAATGCTTGAAATACAAAATATAACAACAGTCAAGAAATAAAACCCTTTCAATTTGTTCTACTTCAGTTCTTAAAAGAAAGCTTTATCTTCAGTTCGTAAAGACCTGGCTCTCAGGATAACAAAGAAACAGAGCTACCACCCCACCTCTTAACTCCCACTACACCTATTTATAGTTTATGGTAAATATTCAGTACATGTACATCCATAGGGCATTATTTAAGACCAATTAACCCCCACCCCCATCATTATGTACCCAACTCTCATTCATATATCTTGGACTAATAAAACAAAATCCTGTTTCCAAGAAAACATCCTACTCGTATTATGATGTAATAAACAGTGATTTATATGGCAGGAAGGTTTGGGAAAATTGCTTGGTAATTTGCTGGTGTTCATCAAGTTTAAAACAATGACTGACAGAAAATTCCTTGGCTTTGTATATAAACCTCTATTTATCTATTCCTGAAAATATGAAATAAATCTTAACACATACTCCTTCATTGTATATATTTCAAGATTACATGCTGCGTAAAGGTAGATAACCTCGTAACCATAACAACATCAGGTTGCTTCAACCTAAGATTAAGGTCTATCTGACATTGTTTTCTAGGTAACACCCACTTGATTATTTCAAATACACTGAGTGAAAATACTTCCTTATTTCCTAAAACTGAAATCAAATAACGAAATTACATTCAAACCTATAAATGCAAGCACCTCTAAAAAATAAACATGTCAACAATCATGTAAACAAATTCTATAATACCTTATTTCCTCCAGTGTTATTAGATGCAAATAAGTTTAATGAAATTTTATCATATTCATTTCCTCGTATGATTTCTATACAGGAATTCATTCCTTAAAATCCTAAACAAGGTTTCGCTGTATTAGAAAACAATTGCCAAGATAAATTGAGGTTAAAAGTTTATTTTGGGATAAGCCACAATTTGTCACTCACAGTGGAATAACCAAAGATAAGAACGATAGCTATTGATTAACAATTTGTTAACATTTAAAGCATAAAAAGGAAAACAAAAGTCAAAAAATGAAAAAATTTGAACAATTCAGCTTAAAAATGTTCAAACTTCAAGTTACCAGTTTTTGTAATACTCCAAGATCACAGATCAGGAAAAACAAATAAACAAATAAATAAATAAATAAATGAACTTGTTTCTTTTTCATTATATCTGTCCTTGTCAACAATATATCATTTTAAAGCCTGGTCATGTTGGGTTAATGTCTCACAGTTAATAAACCATGTGCTATCATATTGGATGAATTCTTATTCACATTTGTTCATGTTCCTGGATATCAAAAGCCAAATCAAAAACCAATTTGTCAAGCTGTAGTTGAATAACAAACATTACTGCTTGCGGTGTCTCTCCAGATTTTCTCACAACTGGTGACTTAATCCCAATTTTACACTTTTCAGTCACCTAAACTAGTAAAACAATTATCTTGATGATATGCTTTCATCATGGATGTATATAATGAGTTTCAGCTTCGCCATAAAAAATTGTTAGTAAGTATGTGAAAGGGCGCAGAAGAGAAAAACTCCCATTAGGCAATACAAAAAGAATTTGAGATCTGTATTTAGTATTACTAGTTTACTAGAAAAAATTTATTCAGAAGATAAATGCATACTATGCCCATTTTCATTGTTTTGACAGGGAGCAAACAGGGCTGCAAGTAATTTTAGAATTTTCATCAGGCTGAAAAATTGCTAAGGAAACCACTAACTTGAATATTGTTGTTTGAAATGTTGGTAGTATATTCACAACATCTATCTATTTCACATATAATCCGTGTTTTTCATCATGACCCCCAGGGGCCATATATGTAGGGTCAAGGATTTTTTTGTTGATTTTAAGATTAAAGTAGTATGAAAGTACATGTATAGCTTCATCATACTCAAGTGAAAGGCAATTTAAAGATGTTTGCAATATTTACCAAGTAAGGTCGAAAACTGTCCAGTTCGTAAGGCATGGAGGAAGCTCAAGAAAATTAAAAGAAATCAACCCATACATACATCAAATTATGTAACGTTAAGCACTCTTGTGAATGTATTTTCATATGTTGCTACCAGGGAGTTCTTCATCTCATACCCCCCCCCCATCTTGTATTTCAGATACCTTTGAGTAGAAATCAAGCAGGTAAATGAGAGTATAGTGCCTATACTGTATGATCCACAGTTTGGTACTCTCTCAGGAACAGCGCAGACTAACGCTTTAGAAAAAGAGAGACTCTGATTAACCAGAGTGTGGTACCTTCGGCATCTTTATTCACAAGGTTTCATTTGTGGCTAACCACCTTGTAAGTCAAAGATGGGTACCCTCACCATACAGGTGAACTTTTCACCTATCATCACAGAGTTGTAAAGTCTGTCAATTAAAGGAGAATGATGACTCACAAAGGTATAATTGGAAATATAATTGAACCCTGTGGCATGATCTAAGAAATTATTCAATTACTGATGTTACACTTGCAGCGTCATTTGTAAATACAAATGTCCTTAGCACTATCTTTGACAATAAATGGTATGGGGTATGGTATTGTTTGACATGGTGTTTGGTATGGTATTGTTTAGTATGGTATTGTTTGTTCTAGTATTTGGTATATGATGATATGATATATATGGTATGGTGTGATATAATATGGTATGGTAATATGTTTGAAAACATATCACATTTTATATTTCATCCTTTCTAAATCTACAGTAGAAGGAAAAACAAGGATGGTTGACTCCTACAATTCTACATGGTGTGATAACATGGTCAAAAACATCACAGGATGTAGACTACGCAATTTTCAGGCTTTTCTAGTCTTAACCTTCCTACCCTGTAACCCCTGCCTCTCTCTTAGGAGGGGGGGGGGGGGTACATGGTCTTGAATACAGGACTTCAAAAAATCATAAAATATAGTATTTGCCCATCCTCCTCTTGAAAGGAAACAATAGCCTGGTTATCAGACAAATAAGACAGACACTTTCTGTTATTTCAGACTTAAAGTTTCCTGTTAACATTTCCTTATATCCCTATCAAGTAACAATAATAGAGTCAATAAAGAAGACATATGTTCAGAAAAATCAACTTGCTTCACAGTATGGGAAGATCCATAGATAGTTTTTATGTTATATAGTTTGTTTTTATTAGATAGAATATATTGTTATTGATATATAACATGGAGTGATAAGATATAATCAAGCCATTGAAAGATGTCACATTCTATTTTCTTAATGCTGTAATATTCTTCCAAGAATTTCTAGTTTATAGATGTTTCTTACCTGATGCCCCCTACCCTATCAGTAATTTGGGCTACTATTGAAAATCATGAATTTTGCCTAAAAATTAATTCTCAAAGCTATAGGCCTGCATATGATGCTCATGTTTTTATTTGATCATACATGTACAGGGTGTCAAATAAGTCTGTTCTCCCCCCTTAACTTTTTTGATTCAGAGATAACATAGGGTTGGTATATATCATCTTAAAGAGAATTTAATTTGCTGATCACACACCAAATTTCAGAGTGATTGGTTAAATTTCAAGTTTTTTAGAGTACTTTTAGTGATGTCCATATTTCACTTTTTTAAAAGTCTGTATGTCTCCCCAAGAAGCCTGGAGGGCCTCAATTCTACGAGGATATGATCCTGTATATATCATTCAGAACGTTTAATTTTGGCTGTTATCAACTATTTTGTGATGAAAAATGCCCCTGTTTCAAAGGCTCTACTGAATGCAACACATTTTACTCTGTAATGATATTGAGAAGCATCGAAATCACCCAATGTTGGCATTGTCACTGCAGTATCAACTTTTCATTTTTCATTCACTATTACCTGGTAATTTTACTTGTTTTGACGTAAAAAAGGTCAACTACAACCTTACAAGAAACATTGTAGCAATTTTATTAGGAGGGTTTTATAATTGATTTTTTGAGGGTGATCAGCATTTTCCATGAGCTTCAAAATGATGTATGGGAAAGTATGATAAAATTAAAGATAAAAAAGTTAAGGGGGGAGAACAGACTTATTTGACACCCTGTATTTGGTTATTCAACATATGCCTACCATAGCTGCATAAGTCAATTTAGAGCTCTTCAGACAGATAGTATAAAATCTCCTCTTGAGGTGATCTCTATAATTAAAGATAACTAAACTAATTCACTTGGCAAATTGATCCCATATGCTCTCTGACAGTCTATTATGACAATATTATAGTTTGCTTGTTTGCTTGTTTGTTTGTTTGCTTGTGTTGGCAATGAAGTGTGACTAAATATAGGAACTAAAATGTTTCGTCTGGGGCTCGCTTATCTTGGACTGCCAAGTTGCAGCAACTGAAACTTTTAAAATCAAGATGGGGCTCCTGTACCTCTCCCAAATTCAAAATCCTCCAAAAACTGGCATGTATGATTTTAAATATAACTTACAGGTCATTAACATTTCAAAGTTGAGAAAAAAAATGGTTGACATTAACATTAATTTCTTGTATCCTCTTAAATCGAGTCAAAATAATTGTGGGAACATTGTGAATTTCAAGTTTTAACATAAATTCTTCAGATATGTGCCATCAATTTCAAAGGCAGACATGGAAGCTTGACAATGGTCAGAGACTACTCATTGTTCAAATGTCTAAATATATTAGCTTTTATACCAGCCTGAAGCTAGAAACATGTACATCTGATTTCAGTTATGTCTACAGGGCATGCCAGTTCATCATTTATCCTACTTAGAGTGACCACAATACATGATGGTCAATAGATGGCTTGTGTTTTTCTCAGAATTAAAAATGAAAGTTTGAATATTGTCAAGTGCAAATCCTATTCACAAAGATAGCTTCAAGGGCAAGATTTGAATGGTTACATATTTGAGCAATTTACATGTGAAATGAATGTGAATGGTTGCAATGAGATTTGATGGCATTTTGATGTCCACTTTCCATCACATTATTATAAACATGAAATTCTATCTCACTTATATTGAGTAACATGAAATTAAGATGAAATTGACCACTGAGAAACTGTATTTACATAAACATTCAAGATTCATCCACAGACAATCTATTCTATTCACTAATGGCTTCTTCTTTCACACATCAGTTTATGGATAAAGCTTCACCTCATAATGAAGCTCATAAATAAGAATTGCTTCTTATCTGAGATTTGAAAGTGTTTTCACATATTATAAATGCAAAATCATCCTGATAAACCATGACATCTCATTTCTTCTCAGCCTTGATGAAACAGAAAGATGTTATCAGTAACAGAATGATTCAAAATATCTCCCTGCCCTATAAAATTGGATATTTGTGCAATATTTAATCCCATTTCTAATATAGATGGCATGTTACTACTTACAGATCTAAGCAGTTCTGCTTCAAGACTCTATACCATGCCCCCCCCCCCTCCCCGATTTATTGACCCACTTATGCTCGAGTAGGAGTGGAGTCAAGTAGTCAGTCAGAGGGGGGGGGGGCACATGAGCGTGTAGCTAGTCTGCTCACCAATTTTTAAAACACAATCTACAACTATATGAATGCCCTTGGGAGATTCGTTACCAATAGGGAGTTTAAGCTTCAATGTTTTTCACAACCCAAATGTGAACTGAAAATATCTAAGCGATGCATTTGTATGGGCGATTGGTCACTTTTATATGCAAGCTTAAACTCCCTTTTATCAAAAAAGCATTACTTACCACAAAAGCTGACATTGTACTTCAAATGTTTCTCCTTCTTCACAAATCCTTTCATTAATCCCATCATTGGTAATCTTTGATCATTTAATCCAGTAAGAGATGAATATATACAGCTCTAGTTCTTAACTTTATCACATGTGTTTTGGAACACTTTGATCTACTACTACAGTCCCTAACATGTAGACTCAACCACTCGATCTTCAATTATTCCAAGATAGCTATTTTTAATCCTCTATACAATGATCAAACATTTCTTAATTATATACCATTCTAATTATCCATTTGTTCCATGTAAATACAGATGACTCCTGAAAATACATCCATAGAGAAGAAAGTCCTGGGCAAACAATCGCAAACAATTGAAGTTTTCTCCTGAGAAACTATGGTGAGCTGTTACCAAACACCAGCATGAAGTTGTCAAACCTGTCAACAAATATCCTCTTTAGGCAGTCATTGTTTTTGTATAAATCCTGAAAAACTATAACTAAACTACTCCTTAGATTCATAGACTTCCTAAACAAGGCTTGACTCATCTGTGTTTCAGATGAAAGACATATGGAGCTCATTTAGGGTGTCATCTATCTATGTTACTGTCCCAAAGCTACTTGGGGTATCTGGTTATATGTCCCCTAGTGATATGGTGTAAAGTCAGATGTCCATGGGGTCTTTCTCTCTTGTGATAATGTCACTGGGATTGATCAGTCCTGGCATCACATGATATAAATCAAATTCTAATTATGCATAAATAATTTCATTAATTTAAATCATTGAATACTCTTTTTGCTCTCTTCGTGGCTTCTAGATTCAACTGACCTCAAGAATTATAATGTGAAAACATCGAAACTGAATTTGAATCTGTGATAAGTCTCCAGTTTTCTTCTTATATCTGCACATCAGTTGTGATTCATTCCTTTATGAACTGGCAAAATTGACTCATATAATTATTAACATGGTTTATGGGTCATGGAAACATGATCTGAATTCCAAAATTTTAATTTACCCAAATCAGTGAGATTGAGTAACATGAGGAACAGTGATATATTCTCACAATTTAATGACTCTACCCTTGAGGAAAATATCATAGTACTTATGTTTCAAAATGCAAAATAAGGTAAAATGAAGAGAAGTCCGCAAGAAACATTGCAAATATAAACATTAGAGAATACTCTCAATTTTAGAGAAGTGCCATAAAGTGTGTTCATTAACAGAATCTTAAGAGAAAAACACTTTAAATGGGCATGTAGTTTAGACATAGGCGCCCTTATGTAATCTTACTCATGGAGTTGAAATGGATCTGTCAAATTGATATGTAATAACATTTATTACAACAAGCACTCCATTAATCAAATATAACAAGATTTTACAAGTGAGTGCTAAAAGCACTTGGGACATTCCACCACCCATTTTTAAAAGAGAAATGTGTTTTGCTACTTTGAAACAGATGAATGAACCACAGTGCCATCTTTCATCATTTGATGTTTATCAATATATGAATATACATGTATACCAGGTTCAACATCACTAGGCAAATTCTCAATTATGATTGTATTTCTATGGTACACGAAGAACCCTTCTCTGTGAAACAACAAATCTACCATGTTAAGGATTTCCAAATGAGATCAAATATCATATTGAATGGTGTCAAGCATCATGTCACTCCTTTCTTATCTTTTTCCTTTTGTGTTTCAAGCGTGTGTTCTTCTTGTACCACAGGAATCCAATGATACAATGGATTTACAATGAATACACGTTATCACCACTGGCCTGATAACAGATCTCAACAGCCTCTGAAACTACTTCACCAACAAAGAAATACATCTGGAATGTCATCAACCAAAATACCAAGACATCTCATTTCTTCTGAGTCATGAGATGTTTCTAATGAAACAGAAAGATATGATGAGTATCAAAATGCTCAAATGTATCAATTCATCATCTAAAAAATATCTTTTCATTTATCTTACAACTTAGAATGTTACTTCAAAGGACCATTTTACTAATAGGTGGTCAAGAATCCTTCCTTACTTCCTATTTTAAAATTTCTTTACAATTTTTTTTATGAACGAATGACCCTCTGAATCGAGTAAAAAGAAGGTCATTCCACTGTCAACTATGATTAATTATAGAAATTATTTTATTCTGTTTAGTATCAAGAAATATTAAAATAAAATCAGAAATCATTAAAATTTAAATTTTTATTAAATGGCCACTCGTTCTATACAAGCAGAAAAATAGAATGTTTTGTGTTTGTTAAAACCACATTAGTACTTCATAATTCATTACAATTGAATTTTAAATACACTCTTAAAAGTTAATTTGAAAACACAATTACTTTTACACACGTGCCAAGTTTCCATGGTCTACTCATCATAAGGCATGTACTTTTCATGAACAAAAATGCTGGATGAAATAAGACGAACCAAATAGCAAGAATATTATGTCAAACAAATGATTTCCCCAGCCAAATAGTTTCTGAAATTAAATTGTGGACTACTTGTAAATGACTTTTTACTTTCTGTGACAGCCTGCCCCTTGTCTAAAGTCAAAGAAAATGAATTAAGAACAGAACAATGCAAGAGAAACATGTTTAAAATGGGCAAGCTGTGTATAACTCCAGTTGATCTTATATCTTATTAAAAGTTTATAGAAGAGGAACTAGCTATATAATGCTATCTGCAACAGAGACCACTAAATGATTGATTCACAAGGTATTAGTTTTTCCCTTGACCCATTAGAAAGTGACAATGTTAAAATGCAACAAATTCAAAATCATGTATAAGATTTGAACCTAGGACTTCTAAATCTTGAGTCTGGACCTCCTCCTTATCTACTTCACCAACACAACACAGTTGTAGTTGTGGGGGGGGGTCACATGGTCTTGTACCTAGGCTATCCTGTGTCTTTTTCTCTACTACTGAGCTATGAGAACACACTGGCGGATATGGGGGGGGGGGCCCAGGGGCCCGGGCCCCCCCCCCCTTGGGTGGGCCCAGAAAAAAATAATTGTGCCCAAAAAAAATTTTGAGCCAAAAAAGGGTTTAAGGCCCCAAAAAGTAGGCCTTTTTGGTCATAAATTGGCCTTGTAAGGCCTTATTTGTTAATTTTTTTCTCAAACCACAAGTTTGGGCTCCCCCCCTTGTTGGTTCCCAGATCCGCCCCTGGAACATATTGCTGTCCATGTTTACCATGGCATGTTATCAGCATGATTATTAAAGTGTTTTGTCTTACAATACCACTGGTCATTAGTAATCCTTTTATAGTAATAATTGTAGCAATGTATGTGTTGATTGAATAAAATGGTAAAGGGAAAGCTTTTCCATTAAAACTAATTCTGAAATATATAATTATCAGGTGGCTTTATATCTCTGTGGCATACAAAGGATGTGCCATCTTCATGCAATGGTGATGTCAACCATTGTTTATATTGTTACTAATTAAGAAAGCACAATTCGAAAGTACAACCAGTAAAGCACAATGAAACACAATCTGGAACAACCAGAGAGCATAATAACAAGTATGCATACATTTTGATACTTTTCAATGAAATGAGATTCTCCCCAAATTACCAGATAAGATACTCAGAAACATATTCAATATACAGTGTTTTTACCAGGATTTTTGACTACCCACCATAAAAAATGAAACCATATATGGTGATCTCCACACGTGCAAAATTCTCATTTTCACAAAATTGGTCAAAATATGCCAATTTTTCATGATATTTCTCATTTTCAAGTGGGTGCAAATGGATTTTCAAGTAGGCACTAGCCTATAGTCAAAATCTCAGGTGGGTGCTGCGCCCACTTGCTTTAATGCTGGGGAGGTCACTGATATATACAAGATTGCAAATGTACATATAATACCAATTAATAATACCAATTATACACATTAGTTACAACTTAAAAAGACAGTGTTGCATCAATAAAACACATAACCTGCAGTTTTAACATAGTAAACTTGTGAAGCAAGCCATTAATAATGAACCAAGAGCACTTACACACTGACCACTAATTAGGTATCAATAGCTCTAAATGTGCATTTAGTTGGCATCAAGCAGGGTTCCATACTGAGCCCTACATTATTCATGAAGTGGTATTTTACAACATATGTCCTATCCAGGGTTGTTTTTGTGGAAAGTGGTGTGATAATTATAGCAATTAATTCTACCCAGTCACTAATGATACCATCACGTCCATCAGTTAACATATACATGTGAAATGTTTTGAAAATTTTTGAACTCATAAAAAACTGACTGAAAATGAATATTTAGAAATATGCACTTTCAAAATGAATTTATATAAACACTGAAGTAATTTTGGAATTATCTTTAACAAAACAGACATTTAATCTGACATACGCTTCTTCACTTGTAAATTGCTCAATCTTGTTTAATACATGTTGAATGAAGATCAACCTTGCTGGGAATAACTGTTTTAGGAATATAGAATTTTTATATTTTCCATGAACAACGAGATATCATGTCATATATGTATAATCTGACACAAGTTTATTGAAGCCAACTTTATTAGGAAAACGCAGTGTCAAGAGCCTGGATGATAAGTAGCCTGGTTAATGTCAGTTTGTTTTACAGTTTTTCTTCTCAATGTCATATCACCTTGGCAACCTTCACAACTAAACATGCAAGTGTGTTGTAAAATAAAATGATATTTCAAAATTTTGAAACAAGTGACATCCTAAAAGCATAATAACAAAGAGCATAGGCTAAAAGCAGACTTGTCAATTCCAGTAGATTTACAAAGAGGCTGAGCGGTAGTCTTGCACTATTGCCTCTATTCTCTCTTAAACTTAAATTTAAACAGAAGTAGAAAGGATAGGTGGAAGTTGAGACCTGATATAAAACTCTGATTTTTGAAGTTAAGATTGAACATATTGTGAAGAAAATATGTGTTCAACAAGTCCAGATGCCAGATTTGCATGTTTCAAAATTCATGTCATGATGATCAAAAGAGATTGTTGAAGATTATGATCTTCCCACACTCTAGCCATTCAGACAGCCATTAAATGGATCAGTGATCCAGAATCAGATCATTAGGGATCCAGTCATGATCTCAGCCTAGGGTACATGATGATCAAAGTAATTTAATGACAATATAATGACACAGCTAGGATTCATGCTTTAATGGATCAAATTGATAACATCAAAGATCAAAGGATCCAAATTAGATCACCTCAAAATGATCAGGTGTAGTGGAAAAGTCCACCAATTAACCTGTCAAAAATTAGTTCTGAGATTTATGCTAATGTAGAGATAGATAATGGAGCACAAAGGTATGAGAGGTGATACTTTATAGATATACTTGAGAACTTTATACCAGCTTATTTTCATATTTAACTTCAGCCAAATAAGATTGTTATTTTTAACATGTTTATTTAGATAGATAGATTTAGATGGATACAATATCTTGATATGCATTATATGTGCCAATTTCCAAAGCATATTAACACGTCAGTAACAAGACAGGTTGACAGTGAAACTATAATATTTCACAGGTAATTGAATAATGTGATATATGTTTTGAGTTTCTTCCATTGGAAATGACATTACAAGATGCATTTTCACTACTTGCTGCCAACTTTAAGTGACCTGCCAACTGAGACTCCTGTGTTGTTTATGTGATGTGCCACTTTTACAATGTCATAATTTAATATAATGTTAAAGTTTTCAATTAAAATGTATTAGATAATCGAATTGAACCTTTTTATGTAAAACAAGACAAAAAGTTCAACATATACTGTCAGAAGTTTTTAACAGATACTGGTATACCTCTGGGAACCAAATGTGATTTAGGTAGGCAGAGTACTGGATAAATTCAGTATAGAAAAGGCCATAACTCATTCTACTCAACATACCTTAAACTTACTATCTCTGTAAGTTTAAATGCTTGTCATTTTTCAATTAAATTGGTTCATAATATAGATTGATCATCTTTTTTAATTTAACATACTGGACCAAGGTATTCACACCTTTACTTGAATAGGCATCAAGGAGGGAGGCTGAACATTTAGTTTTTTATACCACCAAACAAACTGAAATAAAATTTTGGATGAATCTATTTTGTCAAAAACCTTACAATTACAATGTCTATGAGTGCTTGAGTATCTCAAATTAGTCTCCGGCTCAGTTTTGAGAAGCATTGCTAAAATAGATATTTATTCAATGGAGCAGTCATACAAGTTCTCTTAGTTTTTGTGATTGTGTAATATTATAATTGCCTATAACTTTCTAAACCTCAGTATACATGTTTGTCTGTTCGTTTGCTTATTTATTTATTTACTCATTTATTTGTTTGTTTGTTTATTTGTTTGTTGTTTGTTGTTGTATAGCAATATTATGTGACACTAACAAAGATAATTAACCTGACTTAAAACATATTTGATTTGACATGAAGTTCCAAGAAAGAAATTGCAATCAAAAGTGAGATAACTGAAAACACAATTTTCCATTTGAAAAATTGTTTATTTCACAATTCAAAATGTTTCCAAGCAGTATTCAACACAGACCAATGCAGTCTAGATAAGAATATTTGTCTCGAGTCTCACCTCAGAAAACATTACTATTGATAGATGTGATTCACTCTCAGATAATATTCTTCTAACTATCACCAATTTTAACAGTTTCAGGGACAATTACTAGTTCCTAGTTTTCACTTTCTGACTATGAGCGAGACCCTCATATAGAAAATGTCCCCTCATAATTCACTCGATATTTTGAAGATTGAGAACAAACTAAAACATAGGTAGAATTAAGAACTGAAACAATTGCTATTCTAATACAAAATGCAAAAATAAGGAATTATTCATAATATTCTGAAATTGTACCCATCCATGACACCACTCCCTCCTTCTAGTAGAATTCAAGCCCCCTCCTTTCCCATATATATGGGTGCTGCCTTTCAAGGAGGGGGGGGATAATTGGTGTCTGGCAAGGATACCACCTCTCCAAGGCAGCACTGATGTTCGATCATGTATCGCACATCGGCATCCTCCTAAGCAGGTGTCCAGAATCTGTCCCTCCTTCTTCCCCCTGCTATAACCAATTTGGAAGCGCCCGATTTAACTGAATCACATGATCTAAGTATGCGCAATGACCTACACATGATTTCTGTGTTGCGACAGCCAATCAGATTGCGAGTTCTCAATCGGGGAAATGGTAACTGCTTATCGCAGGGGAATAGAAAGAATATATTCTGGATTTTGAAGCCCTCTGTGATCAGAGGATGCACATCGGTAGAACCCATATTTGGTACCATATCCTATGAAGAAACTCCTAAGCTCCACAACCATAATAAAGAATTGATTTTAAAACACTTACTTGATCCTAGCCTTGGTCGGGGAACAGTCCCATTCATCACATTGACTAGTTTGATGTACATATTCCTCATATAATATAAATGCCAGTATCTATTTGTATATAAATTAGTTCCTAGACTAATCTTTGGAGAAACGAACAAGATTCCCTTGTCTAACTAATGTGCCATTTTCTCCAGTTTGTAAATTACATTATATTTTGTTATGAGTTCTTCAATGTGAACAATATAAGATTTCTTAATGGTCATTTAGGTCCACAAATTATCAAGAAAGTCAAGGAGTTTTGATATGATTTCATTAATTATTTCATCTGTACTCAGTCTGTCCTCTAATGCCCAGTATGGACAGAATCAGACTACCTTTTTTGTGCACATATAAAATTCTAGGCTTGAAACTTTCGATTGTGTATTCTAATCCAAATTGAAATATCCATCTCAGTCAATTAGTCACACGCGCCTGAAAAATCCTCTTCATCAAGAATCCATATATTTAATATATTGTTGACTTTAAATTAAATTAACAAAATCTTAATTTTGCTTGTTGTTCATAAGGAGCTCTTCAAGCCATCTGGTCAAATGTTATATTCAACTCTGTTTTGAATGATGTTTGAGATGGGAGGGTCTCGCTCAGGTAAACTTAATACCTTTATAGGACTACACCTTCTGATTGGCTCACAGCTTAGGGAGTTTATCTATTTTTGACAACCCTTGATCAACTGAAAAAATGAAATCTTATTGTGTCAGTATTTTTATTGGCTTAACCAATTAACAATTTAATCCTATTTTCATTCAATCACAGTTGCACCTTTTTTCTCCATATGGATACATACTGTTGGTTGGCTTATAATGTTAAATCTAAACATATCGTATTTAAACAAATAAAATCCGAGTTGAATTATATTATAAATAATTATTTTTATCAACTAAAATATTAATTTCAGATTTTATTTCTCTAGCTAGATTCACAAATTAATTTTTATATATTGTAAATGTATATTTCTCATTTTTCAAAAATCGTTTGATGTGATATAATGTCACTCTAGATGTTAATCAAGTGGACATCACTGATTGAAACATGTTAGAAGCCCCATGCATACTGACCAGTTAATGAACCAATTTACATGTGGAGACAACATCAACATTATGCACTTAATCATATCTGTTTGTTTTGAACAATGCTAATTTATATTACATGTCATGCTATCAAAATCCAATTAAAAATAATATACATTAGTGGAAATGATTTATTTTTTGTAAGCTCATCCCCCCCTCCACATCCCCTTTAAATCAATGACACAGACATAGGTATAGCCTCGTAACCATGATATGCCGAGGGGGGTCACTTTTTAAACAATTCTAGTACCCTTTGCATTCGTTTGACTTCACTTCTTAAAAGAGAGCTTCGTAGTTTAACTAGACTCTGCACGCAGGGTACAATTCTAGGGGGGTCATTTTTGAAAACTTTGGTACAAAAATGGCCATAATCACTTGAAAAGTGCTCAGAATGGCGAAAAACTGCATGATTTGGAAAGAATTTCTGGCCAGGGGTGGGAGGGGGGCTCAACCCCCACCTCCTCCCCCATAGCTACGGACCTGGGGTAGCTGGTATATGGAAGCTAAGATGCCAGTATATGTATTACAAAAATCAATTACAATCTGTCCTAGGGACGTATAGGGTAGCTTAATACTGAACAAGGCAATAATAATCCAACCATGACCTAACACTTCCTCATTAAAATATCTAAATGAAGACATCAAACAGGCATACACTCCACTTCACGCAGTCAGTGACATTACATGTAGACATCCTACTCAAATCAAAATGTCTCCTGTGAGATTTTATTTTGAATTTTATTCAAGTTGAAATGGGTATAAATGACTTATCACTCCCATCATGTGTGGTCAGCGACTAGAGGGTCTATGATGACCTTATCCACATTGCCATCAATGATTTGTGGTCAACTGGTAAGTAAAACAAATGGGATAGTATTCGTATTTAGACAAATATGTTGAAAATACAAAAATGCAGATTAAATCACTTAATCTGCTCTATATCTACTTATGTACTGATCAAAAAGACTGATTGACAAATCATAGTCAAATGTCTTACAACACATAAAATGACATGGATTCGGATATAACAAGACCTATGGCTTTATAATGACGAAAACCATGGTTTGTTTATCAAAAATTAACAATATGTAACCATACTGCTTAACAATTTCTTTTCCAACCTTTGAAACATCAGTCCTTGGAAATCCAAGATGCATACCAAACCTGTCCTCTTTATCAAACTTCTCAACTGTATCCTCCAGACCCCCACCTGCCGAAGTCTGGCTATTTAATATATAATGAGAACGATCAACACAGTTCAGTGGTTGTTTCTAAAGAGAAAGGCGGAGGAGCATCACAGTGGAATAATGCAGGGCCATACTGATAAATACTTCCAGTAACGTGGGGACAAAAGATTATTGTAGCAATGATTTTCTAAGGTATAATTTTACTCACGGAGATATGTTTACCTGGGCTTTACCCTTTGTTTTCATCATTTGTAATTATAGTTCTGGAAATCTATTAAGGAGGGGTAGTGTTTTAACCCTCAAGTGTCCAGAATGTCTCACAATCAACCAATTGGATATTATATTCCTTATTCTAATCATAAAATAAAAACAAGATATTAAATTATCGTATGATCTGTAAAATGAAGCCCTCTGATTGGTCAGTTCTTGTGCTGTACCAATCTGTATTGCTACTGAGATTGTCCCCATTGATTATCTCCGTCGCAATACAGAAAATATTGGTACGGAAGAGACAATCTCGGTAGCAATACAGAGGATCACACGATAAAAACGTTATTGAATGTTCGTCGAGTGCCAATACAGAATATCGAGACAGAATATATCCTGTATTGCACTTCAAATCATTCAATAACTTATAATATTGATTCCTTATCATTGAACTGGTAGTATATATTAACCTGTTATGTTAATTATTCTGCTTTTTCGTGAAATATGTGGTTCTAAATAAGACTATTGTCAAAGGGAAAATATATTTCAACAATATTAAGAGGCTAACCCAACAATCATTTATCTATAAGTTCCCAGGAGTAATATAATCTGACTTCATATTTCAGATTTGACCTTCTCTTTAATATTCAGAGGTCAAAAGTCAAGGTCACTGGTCTATTCCATCTAAAAGGCCCCTGTAACATTTTGGTACCTATAAAATCTTCATGTCTCACCAGAAACATCTCAAGGTTGAGAAGAAATGAGATGCCATAGTTTATCATGATGCCCCTGTTAGATTATTGACAATCATCAATGCCCAGTTTTATTTTACTTCTTCAGAACCACTAGTAAAAGTATCCAGAAGAAGAATGGACAGTTGGCTGAAGAGGGTTAACAGATAATTACAACTCTATACTAGATAGATCCCCCTAGAGCCAGTGGCCTCAGTGGTACAGGGACTACCAGGAGCAGCTATAACAGGTGACCAGAAAGGTGAAATAATTAAATTCAATTACCATCGATAATCGTGGTAGGACAACATATAATTAATTGTCATTGGAAGTGTGCCGAGAAGCATGAGATGTGGCACTGCATCACCTTTACAGTAACACACCCAAAGATCATATTGCAAGGAGTCATTTTCAAATGTGAAAAACAGAGAGAAATAGAGAGCATTTAATAAGGAATGAATGAGTAGACAACCTAAATATACCATAAATTGTATAGAAGTTCAAGAAAATCAGCCAGTTTTGGTTAAATAAGAGAGAAAATGCAACAAATAAGTATGATATGAGTGAATATTTATATTCAGGGAGTGTCAACACAGACCACTTGGACATATGGCCACTGGGTGATGACAGTGTTTGGGTTAGAAGTCACCATGGCAATCTAAGACCATGTTGTCACATTGTCATAGCGCCCAGTGAGTCACTTTGTCCAGTAATTAGAATTTTCAATCTAAAATCCAGTAGAATGACCACATTTTCTTAATCATAATTCAGAGTTCGCCACAGAACCTATCCTGACCCACTTTACATCTATCAATCTTGAAATCCTGAACTATTATTTAGAGTTTGATTTGGTCTCAAAACTGCATAACAAAATCGCAGACTAATATTTCCTACTTCAACTTCCTATAAACGAAGGTTATGGAGGGTAGATTTATGTAATAATGAATGGAAAAACATGCAATTATAAGAATGATTCCAGCATGCAATTGTCCCAATAGCATAAATTATCATTTAGAATCATTGATTCTGCAATTTCAACCTCCAGGTAAAACACCTTACCTGTAATTAGTCACTTAGACACAGGTGTATGTAATGAATATACAAGTAATAGAGAAGATTATATGTTTCAATTTCTAGTTATGATATGGTCATTTTGATTTGATTTGAGGAGACACCCTAATATGAGACATGATGAAAAATCAATCAAATCAGTCTAAGTAATAATAAAAAGACAAAAGACATCATTCCTCAAGTCAATTTCAAAAACTACAGTTCTTCATTCAAAGGACTTCCTTTATTACTCAATTCAGTATGGTAAGAAGTGAAAAACCCTTGGACCAAGTTTTTTTTTTACTTAAAACCTAGATTTTATTCTTCTGCATTATGGTACAATTGTCAATATACCCATGATACCTATGATTGTCATATGTCAACTGGTGAATTAGTTACAAACCATTATACATGCAAATGTGATGCATCTAATATCATGGTTCAATGATTGTTTGATTGATACATCAAGGATTGTTTCTGACTGACAACTGAACAGAGAGGTTTTTGCTAGGATACTAAATTATGAAAATTGACAATCATACTTTTGGAAACAGACCATAGACCTTATATTGAGTCTGTACCTTTAAGACCATAACAGACTACACCTTCAATGATAGTCTCATACCAAAGTATTTATCAAACACATTACATCAACTTCCACCTCAAAAAAACATATACCGATTAATTAAGATGGGGGAAAACTGATGACAATATTTCTGAATCTTATATGATTAATAATAAAGAATGTTTCTGCAAGTATGCATCTGTGATTTAACAATTATTACTAATCCATAATACTTATGATAATCTATTTAGAAAATCTGATGATATAGCAAATGTTCAATGTATACTTACAAAAATATTTTCTTTTCATATGCAAGTTTTCACTCCCTGTTAGCACAACACGAGTACTGCAGAAAACACAGCAGAAGAGCTGGTACTCATGATACCTGAACATCTTCAAAATACTCTCAAATACGTAAAAGCTAAAGTAAATTCCTAAGCATGGTGCTCTCCAATTGTCTATAACGACAGAAATATTGAGGTTTTCAGGGCAAAAGAAAATGGGGAAATAAGTTGAGAAATGAGTTTCAAACCTACTTTATCAATGTGTCAAAAATGAACAGAGATTTATTTTTCTCCTTCATAATCCCACTATAGCATTCTAAGACCTTAGTTGCTTGATAAGTGATTTATTGTTTCACTAAATGAGAAATAATTTGCCAGTCTCATCAATCCCTTGTCTTAGCCATCCATCTTCTAACAAGCATATACCACATAGTACCTCCAAAGAAGAAACAGATGATGCGAGAAAATAAATTACTTGATGCAAGAATGCATATGATGGAATACTTATCACAGATCTAGGTTTTATCAATATAAATAATCAAAAAACAACAGAAAAATAAAAAACTACTTAACAAATTTAAAAAATTGAAACTCTACATAATGAAGATGTAGATAGTATGAAGATAAGAAAGTATACTTTGGATTCATCATAGAGAATTCCTACCAAGACTGACATTAAAAAAATCTTTGTTACAGTTCACATGTTCTATTGGGCAATAGATTCTACTATAACACATTTTCTTATGCTACATATGGTAAAAGCTGATTGTTAAAATGCATCCTCCGATCACAGGGCTTAAAAATCCAAAATATCTTCTTTCTTTTTACCCCCTGCTATAACCAAGTTGGACGCGCCCGATTAAACTGAATCACGTGATCTAATAATGCGCTGATGACGTATACATGATTGCTGTCGCAGTGTTGCGACAGCCAATCAAATTGCGAGTTCTTAATCGGGGAAATGCTAACTGCTTATAGCAGGGGGAAGAAGGAGGTACGGATTCTGGACACCTGCTTAGGAGGATGTTAAAATGAAGATCTTTATTTAACAACAACAATGACAATGTTCAAAAACTTACCCGAGAAATACTTTCTTTGTAACTGCATCCTCCTAGTATAAAAGTCCATATCAGAAAAAAAATCCAGAAAAATCAAATATCAGTAGTTCCCTTCAGTGCATCTTATCCAAATATTGTGCAATGTTATTTCAGAAACAGAGTCCAGACCTGAGGTTGATATTTCATTAAAATCACTGGTGTGTATCTATGCAAAATCCATGTTTCCATTGAGCCACATGTCTTATCATTGAATTGTGAAATTCTGCATTGTACTAAAATATCAAATATCAGGATGATATCCAAATTATAAAATAATATATCATTTGTTAGATTTGAATGGCTTATTTCCTGAACTGGTTATCTGACGCTGAAGCAACAATTATAGAGAATCAGTTGCTTCCTCGTTACTATAATTCCACATAGACATAGGTCATATTCATTGAATCCATGACAATTATCTTCCTTATGAATCCTTCAACTCGTATTTTCATAATTTGACCACTTCTTTGGGAGAGCTATCTGAAGCAACTGGTGTTACACCTATAAAACTCACTGACATATTGTTTGTATCTATATCTTGATTGGTTTTATAGATCATAAAATATTTTATTATTTTGCCCACTGTTTTATTAAAATTGATTTTGTCTTAATTATTCCATAAAACAGTATGAATGTCGACTAATTCTGTCAATATAAATGCATGTAATACCATCCCATATTCATAAAATAATGAAAATATTTTCTTAATAATTGACATATTTAATAAGTCATACAACTGACATAATCCAACATGTTGATCAAATCCTGTTCTGTATCAGTGATACCATTCCGTAAAATACATCAATTGTTTCAAGTCTTTTTTACAAATCTTCTCTCTTTAGGTATATTTTAAAATACAATTTCTTACATCTCAAGTTAGCTTTTTTATACTGTTTTAATATTTTTTTTATTTTTTCAGTTTTCTTTAATCAAAAATCAACCGATTTGTTAATTTATTTATAGTCTTATAATGTAATATGACATGACACATTGTTTAATATCCTCCCAACAAAATCATGTAAAATGCAGCGTAATCCTTCATAATGTTTTGACAGTTGTTCCCGATTCAATCGAAACCATCCTTTTGAAAGACTGACAACCAAACCAACATAGTTAATCCCTTAGTTGTAATTGTTGAGGTTGAATCCCTTGAAAAATTTCCTTTTTAACATTTCATATTTTTCCCAGAAATGTGAACACTATAAATCAATAACCTCCTAACCTCTTAGGCTCTTATATGTTCATAGTATGTTTCATCTTTTCATTTCTTTGGAGCTTTGGAGAATTTATTTGAGAAAAAGATAGAACTTGTAATTTCATTGCAAGGGTTTATTGTTTCTGACTGCTGATTGAATATTGGACATTCAATTGTGGAGATGACACTTTTATCGTTCTGTCATCACGTGTCAGCATAAAGAATACAAAAGTAAGAGAGAATAAAAAAGGAAAACACATGGAAACGAAGGAAAGATGTAAACATATCTGCTGATAAAGTATTTATTTTGAACATCATACGTTTTAATCAAATTTCTGCTCCAGCAATACCATAATATTTATTTCATAAAAAAATTTTGATTTAAAATGATGGATGATAGATGGGGACTCAACACATAAGCTACTTGTAATATCACAGAGCTATTATGTGTACTTTGCTATGTTTTCTATTTTTCGCTTTTTAACAAGTACAATAAAAACATTAAAAATAAAATGATTCATTGTTATAATAAAACAAAGAAGATCAATGCCATATAACAAATTGCGCACCATCAAAGCTCAATCACATATGTTCATAACAATATCTTCCTTAAAAAGCCTTAATAAATATCAGAATTATGAAAAAATCTTATTGAAATATTTATAGTTTATATTTATAGAAAATAATTGTAACCACACACATGTTTAAATCACAACTTACAAATTGATTATCTAATTAATTGACAATAAATAATAAATGACTGTGGCAATATGAAATATTTATTGAAATTATGTCATAAAACAACACCAGAGACATTAGTTACCCAATCACATAAAGAACCACATGAAGCAGCATCCAGTATGAAACAAATAATTAATTGCCAAATAACATGGATTAAATGTCACCCCACTATGGCAACCTTCTGTCCCTATATCCAAATTCTAATCTAGCAAAAATGGTAGTCTTCGGTAAATGTACTTTCACAGTGATCTCCTCATCCTCCGATCATAGGCGCAGCACCCACTTGTATCAAAGCTGGGAGATAACTGTTTCTAGTTTTATCATGACAAGTATTTAGTCTGATTAAATCTTAAATATGAGGGTCTAGGTACGGAAAATTTCGAATGGAATGCGTGACATAAACGTAATTCGCGTGAAAAGTCCGAACGAAATGCGTACATTTTTTTCCGGCGTTCGTATTTTTGCTGTGTAGACGATCTTTTTTACAAATTTTTCTACAGAAATATTTTTGCTTGACAATTAACAGGTAAAATGCGTATTTGCGTGACATTTTCTGTCACGCAAAAATAACTAGCGTGACTTCAAATTCTTCAGCAAATGCGTGACAAATACGCAAATTGCGGGACAGTTGACAGGCCTGAAATTATCATTTTCATGGTTCATTTTACTTCTTGAATTCACCAGATTTAAAATGCATTTCAAATCATGTTAAAATAGGATTCCATGCTTATAACTCCTTCAGTATGAAAAATGACATGTTAAATATCTATAGCAAATTACAACAGGCATTAATCAGTATTTAAACCTGCAATTAGTGGCATTTGTACTATTTACAGACAATTATTTCTTTGTCATTGTAGACCATTTTAGAAATAATTCTTTCTGCTTTGACACTTTTACTTGATGATCCCCCAAGTAAAATCACCTACCCTGATAAGAAATATTCCTGAATTATAGATATAAAATTCTAAATATATAACCTTTAAAGGAGATAATTATCAATGTAATATACTAAATAAGCAGATAAAATACACTCCAAACTATATAGAAATACAAGAAATCAAGCAGATTAGTGAGATATAAAATGGAATAAGGAACTGGCCAGGAGGATCATTTCATGCATTTTTATTTGAAACATGCATGAGATGACAGTGATGCTTTTGGTCTGTTCAGTTCCCATGCAAATTGTGTGACTGTCATGAGATGCTAAACTGTAAAGTTAGTCTAGCTACAAGCCCTTGTGACCCCCCCACCTAGGTATGTAGTCAAGTAGTGGGGGGGAGGGGTGGTCAGGTGGTTGGTTACAAGGGCTCGTAGCTCAACTATTTAAAGTAGAAGATATAAATTTTCTTATGCCAAAATGCATCCCGAATTACCAAAGTAGTTTCCCAACTAAAACCTAAACTTGTCTTGTCAGCAAGTATGCCAAAATGCATATGTCTAAAATGGTTTAATGTAGTATATATTTATATCTGACTTGGTTGTACACGACTGACAAGTATATATTAGATCAACTAAGCTACAATGTGTACTCAAGTCCATTTGAGATTCGGAGACTTCAAAAATGAAATCCAAATTTTGTTTCTATTATAAGTTGACTGTCTGAAAATACCATTACTTTAATGCAAATGCCATTTCTTTAATACAAATGCCATTTCTTTACCACAAATGCCATTTCTTTAATGCTCGTGATAACACCTCATAACAATCACAATTACAGCTCTCAGCGTTTGACCAAAGAAATAATCAAAGACATAAACTATCTTTAACTTCTAAAGAAAGCCTTCAAACGCAGATAATATATAATTAAAAGCATCAATTTAATTACATTTGATTGCATTTCCAAATGTTTCCTACCACAGTATTCATATCTTAAACAATATTTATTGAAGACATAAATTAAGCTTAGGCTTACTGGCCACTCATTAGTTTCTTTTATCCTATTGACAACTTTAAATCCCTCATAAAGTGAAGATTGTCCACTCCATTTAATGTTGATTGCTGTTATCCAATTAGCTTTAACATAAATACTGCATTGACCATGTGATGGAAATATAATTTCATTTTTATTCTATTATGGTAATTGACATGAGAGACATCTATAGATAGAGTTGAAGATAACTTGATACAAAAGCTTATCAAAAAAAACTCCTCCGAGCAACCTGGAAACAAGCAATCTACAATTTCACTAGATAAGCAAAAAATATTCATTCGTGAAGTTTATGTATTATTTCATGGTACTAATACTTTAACTATATACAGTCAATCATAAAGTCCCAAGAATTTGTATAACACATGATGACCCATTCAAATGAATTCTTGTGGTTCTCTGCACCAAATTGAAATAACATTGTATGAAATAAAATCACTTACTTGGACTCGATCCACGGCTACTAGATGATCTGTTATCCAACGTCTGACTGCGTGAAATCTGCTCTGCAGCAACTGAAAATTAGAAAAAAGTTCAGAATTGAAAATTATAAAGTTTCAAGCTCACTACACTTATGGCCTAGTCACATAGCCCGGCCGATGTCCGGCATCGGTAGAGCTCGGTGGATTTTTTTGGTGCCACCGAGCTCTCCTCATCGGAAGCAGAGCTCGGTGACGTGAACGGACTCCGTCCGGACATCTTCAGGTACTATACTTTCCAAGGCTCTGTCCCACATCGGCCGGAGCTCGGTCGGAGCTCGGCCGGTGTCCGTTAAAAAAACCTCGTCCTCTGGTTGTCTCAGATGCACGGGACACCGACCGATACTCGGCCGTGCACCGGCCGACGTGTGTTCTGATGTGGTTACGATGGGGCTGCGATGAGGGAGCTCGGTGAGAGCCCGGTGAAATTTAACTCCGAAGTTAAAATTTCACCGAGCTGCCACCGATGCGGTTTTAAGCAACAAACGCCACGGATGTCTGGCCGGTGTCCGGCCGGTGTTCGGCCGAGTTCGGTGAAAATTGCATCGCTGGCTCATCGGAACCTCATCGGCCGGGCTATGTGACTAGGCCATTATACTATACGGGGGCTTTATGTGCATGAAACTCTAGATTTTTCTAAAAATAGAAAAAATTCAAACGCTATTACAATACCTCAAAATCAATCAATTTCAATGAAGTCAATCAAGTCAATACAGTCATGACTGCATTCCCTAAAATCAAGCTCACTATCCAATTGAAAATAAATTCTACAATAAGTATACAGCTACTTGAACATACTATTCTAATGTAGTTCATTAATTGTATTTTTGCATGGCATGATACTCATGTTAGCTCATTCATATGTCTAGTTTATTTATACATGGTTGGCAAGGTAATATAAAAGCATATACCCTATGACCCAAATGTCAGTAGTAATATTTACTAGCCTCTGTCTAAGATTGACAATTTTACACGCTGATCTTTTTGACCAATCAGTGAGCTACAGGGTGGTAAAAAAAAATGGAAACCCTGTCGCCATTTTCCTCATATCTTTGTCATTTTGGGAAATTACTCCCTGATATTTAGCACATTTGTACATCATTCAATTTCCTACCAGCTTTCTATATTTCACGACCATCAAATTGATAGTCACAATATTACAGCACTTTAAACAACATGCTCCATTGGCCAATATTGCACTTTCGGCAAACCTGCACCTATCATCCAAAATGTCCCTACCTAACTTCAACCTGTGGTGATACACCAAAAAAGAGTGTACGAGAATAACCCCAGGACAACTGCAGACCTCAAAAAGCAGATCATCCATGTCATACAGGCCATACCTGCTGAAAAATGTAGTCAGATCATTGACAACCTGTTCAGATTTGCCAATAGCGCGATGGTGGCCACATTGGGGCATCTTGTTCAAAGTGCTGTACCATTGTGACTATCAATCTGATGGTCATGAAATAGTGTTAGCTGGTAGGAAATTGAATGTTGTACATGTGTGTCAAATTTCAGGGAATAATTACACAAAATGACGAAGATATGAGGAAAATGCAGGGTTTCCATTTTTTTGACCACCCTGTAGAAGGAACTTGTGCTAAATGGATACTTATTACTCTGCAATGATATCAGAAAATGACCATATATAGAATTAAGTTGTCCCTGTTTCGATGACAAACTCTGATTGGCTCGGTGAGGTCAGAGATTTATCGTAAATTAAAAGAGTGAAGACATTTAGCTCGCTTTCAAGAAGCGAAATCTAATGAATGCAAAAGGTAGATTGGGTAAGGCTAGATCAAAGGATTAAAGAAAGAAGGGAAAGTGACTGGATTTTGTCTTGGTGACATACTGCCAGAATGCTCCATTACTGCTTTTAAGTCTTGTTAATGTCAAATGTCATTCATTGTTATTACAGTAATTGTACTTGTCCCCTTGTGGCATCTACAACTCCTACTTTTTCACTTAGTCCTCTCTGCATAGCCAAAGGAGAGACAGAATGTCAAAGTCTGTTATCCCCATAATTTTTTGTTCAAAACAACTGTTTATTATGGCTAATTCTATGTATTTTTGAAGATAATGAGGATAGTATAATATTCGCCAGTTAGATTTAGGATGACCTTGAATCAAATAGCTACCTGTATCAACAGTATATCAATTCCCCATCATGATAAACCATAACATCTCATTACTCTCAGCCCTGATATGTGAAAGGTAAAACGGAAAAATGCTATGTCAATTCCCATGCAAATAGATAGATGGGGGGGGGGGGGTAGATAATTGATGTAAGACTTATTGACAGGAAGCAAAGAGCTCACCACACACCTCCTACATTCAAGTAAAAGATAATATCCATGTCATAGTAAAACAATGTGGTAAACCAAAAGTGTGTCTACCCAAACACAAATATTCCCTCCAACCTTGCTGATCCCAAAGTTTTTGTATCGAAATCAAAAACTGCCTCATTTTTTACATTTTACATTCCTAGTCCAGCTGCAAGACATGTGACCCCTCCACTTTACACCTCCCCAAAGGGGTAGGGTCCTGTAGAGACAGACCTGAAGCAAGGCTAGCATTTTTCTTTTATTAAGAATGTTGATAACATGCCACTCAATTCCTCACTGATTCCACTCTCATTTCTAACCAGTAATTGCTTTTCTGCTTATACTAATGAGACACTAATGAGAAACAAACTTTTTGTTATCTAACAATATCTCTTTTTTATCAAGGTGAGTAAATCTGAGAAAATCCTCCCAACCAGATTGTGATATGACTAGGGAGTGTTATACGTTACCAAGCAACCAAACAGATTTGGATAACCTTGGCAACCCTGTTATCATCAAACTCGGTATGTGTTAACTTGTGATTTATGAAATATATGTATGTATTTCAATTAACATTAGATTCCTCCAAAGCAATAAATAAACCCAGGTCTATCTAGTCTTGCTCCAAGACTGTGGACCCCCTCACTTATTTACTTTACATAACACTTGTGGGAGATGTATATGGGGGGGGGGGGCTGAAAGGGCTTGCACACATTTGAAATATGATTACCCTGACTCCAGAGGTCTATCTAGTCCTGCTTCAAGACTGTTGACCCCCTCACTTATTTACTTTACATAACACTTGTGGGAGATGTATATGGGGGGGGGCTGAAAGGGCTTGCACACATTTGAAATATGATCACCCTGATTCCAGAGGCTATCAAATTATTGCTACTCTCTTAAAATTTTACAACTTGGATATGGTAAATCATGTGTTTGTTTTTTATTTGCAGAACAGCTCATCATTGATGTGATGGAGAATATCTTGAATGTTCGAGAAGTTCAGAAAATTCAAGAATCGTGGCGAGAATAGCAGATAAGTGTCACAAGCTACGTCTGAAATCGTTAAATAATTTTAGTTTTGATGACGATGAAATCTTAATGCATATTTGTTCCTTTAAAATCCAGACACAGATTATGTTTTTCAAAGAAAGATTAGGTCTCTGCATGATACTGGTCGCTGATTCATGCTACTATCTTGTGGAACTGAAGATCAATATGTCTTACACTAGCAAGATGACATCATAGTTAAATTGGTCTGAAAATTCTTCAAAGACATTTTGTCAAAACCTGGAAGTCATTCTGAGAATTTTAATGAACTACAGTACATACACATGTTCTACAAATGTAAGGCAGAGTGATTAGAACCAAAATAATATGTTTTTGAAATAAGTAATAAAATGCTTTGGTTTTCAAGTCTTGTAGTTTTTGTTTGTTTGTTTGTTTGTTTGTTTGTTTGTTTGTTTGTTTGTTTGTTTGGCATAAACTTATCTATATTTAATATTCCCTGGTCTCCTAAAGGAATAACCTCTAAGACAATTAAATCAAGAAACCCCCGTTTCTACTTCGACCATCCTATTTATATGGAGATTTTCACCATTGATCAAAGTGCTTTTTTCATTCCATTATTACATCCAGTAGGGAATTGTATATTGGGAGGGATGGATGGAGAAGCATTTCCAGTTGATGAATTTGTTCATAATCACAGCTGACATGATAATCTAAGTTGGCATTATTATATTGATTCAGAATAACAATGTGACCATTTTTAACTTTGTACAACTGGAAAGGATGCTTGTATTTTGGATTCAATCTTCAATCGTCTTGTATTAAGAGGGAGAGTGAAAGGAGAGAGAGAGAGGGGGGGTGATTAGAGTAGAGAGGGAGAATGGAAACAGAGGGAGACTGAATAAAGAGAGTGAATACGGAGGGAGGATGATTAGAGAGGGAGACTGTCTAAACAGAGTAATAAATAGAGAGGGGGTGAATAGAGGGGGATTGAAAGGAAGTAGACAGAGGGGGAAATGAATAAAGGGAGAGTGAATTGAGAGGGAGAGTGAATTAGAGGGGGAAGAAAGAGCAGGAGAGTGGATAGAGGTGGAGTAGATAGAGAGGGAAAGAGATTTGCAAGTAAATACAGGGGGAAAGTAAATAGATAAGGGGGTGGATATAGACCGAGACCCTTAAATCAATTTCAAAGTCCATCAGAATGAAATATTAAAGATGAGCAAGATATAATTTTTATATGTAGATTCAAATATAAAACAATTAGACTAATTTTTGAATACATAATCAAGATCATTTCTTCTAGCATTTTGTCTTAACCTTTACCATGCTGCCTTATTTCAGCAAATATATCCCACGCAACTGGCTTATTTTTCAAAGAGTGCAAAAAATGATATGCCTGGACTAAATAATTAATATCTCAATAACTACTGAATGAAAAATTTTCACAAAGGGAAGATACAGTGGCCTGGCTCATGAAAAAAAATGTTCTCATGAATTTTTTCGTACATTAACACGACTGGGCATAAAATACCATGAATACTCCTCCGGAATCCGCCGCTCCGCCTCTTCGTCTAGTCAGAATCCAAATCTGAATTTGCAGCGATCGAATGTTCAATTTTTCAATTCAGAAAATATTCTAGTTTCTATTTTCGATGACCGTTATCGGCTTCCAAGAGCCTAAAGAGCTCGAAATCGTAATCCATTTCCTCCACATTTTCGTTGTGATCGTATTTGTCCACCATTTTGTACGATTCGTTCACTAAAAACGACTAAAACACTGTTTAAATTGTTGAATTGAGAATTATTTTTCGAAATATCGCCATTTCTAGGTCAACAGGAAGTCATGTTAGGCACTGAATAAATCGGGCAATCTAATTGGACAATACGAATGGCGCGAAAAAGTAAAGTTTTTAAAAGTTTGAAATCGGGCGTACGGGTCCGCCGGCAGTTGTGAGAGACATTTTAGTCTCGGCGGATGCGTCCGCCGGCAGCACGCTAAAGGTTAATCTATCACTTAGTTTTACACTTTTCTGGGTGATGTGTACCAGTGTTTTACTTACCCAAATTGTATGTTTTCTTCTTGGAGAATATCACACGTTTCACAACGCTTTTCCATTTCTCTTTTTGTCCAAACATTTTTAGATGTTAAATTACACAATCAAGGTAGAAGATATATTTTTCTATTCAATACTTGAATATCCTAGCAATGAAACATTTTACTAATTTATAACTTTTTTTATTGAGCTCCATAAATAATCTGAAATGTCATAAATATATCCATATTTGATGTTGAAGATGAAAACAGAGATGTAACTTATCTGCCTCTGCAACTTATAATAATCCAAGAAATGAAGGTCAATGCAATTCATCAATGCAAGAACGAGGATTTCTACTTATTCTCGGGAAATTGCTTCCCCAGCAGTGCTTAATCATTTTCGTTTTGGCCGTGCGATACTCGATAATATTCCCTTTCTGTGACTTGATTTAATTTATAACCTTAAAGTCGGATATCATTCTCATAACCGTCCATTCTAGCATTGATATCTATAGAAAATCCATGATTGATGTTTTGGTTGCCACTCGCCATACGTAATTGAAAATCCAATATCTGATTATATGCCGATGTCAAAAAATCAAAAGCAGAAAAAGTAATATGGAATTGCCTTCCTGGGAAATTCTCTTCTGATAATTCTAGCAGTGTTATCAAGGTTAATGGTGGTCGGATATGAGACTTTTCCTTTTTGTTGACTTATAAGTCTCTTTGGTATCCCCATATGCAGATATGTGGACTATTATTAATTGTCTCTCAGTCTGGTATATAAACAGTTTTTCACTTTAACAGTAAAGTGAAGATTTCCAACAGCTGTCTGTTTATTGCTATAATGTATTGCATGAATAATCCTTATAAAGACACAATACAAAAGAAAATGAAAAAATTGCTTTAAATTAGATTTCTTGTTAATTGTATGACGATACTACACTTCACTTCGTGGAACTAAAAAATCCCATTAGATATAAATATGAGATCAGTGCATTTATATACTGCTGAAAATAGACTTCTTGTGAAACGTCTAACTATATACACTCACAAATGTCACTAAAAAGGTGAAATCCTCATTTGAACTCGATATGAGGTCAGAATGTGAAAATCACGATTTATTTCTCAAATTGCACATTTTTTGCTTTCAAATCCCAGTTGACCTTTCCTCTGTAGATTAGCACCATCTCCTTTTCCTAAATTGCCAGATTCAAGGCAAGCACACAGTCTGTCCTAAAATCACAAGAACTTCCTTCTCTATATGTTTATATCCAACAAGTAGAGCCTCTGAGAGTAACAGGGTACCTGAACTGTATGATGTACACTGGAGAAATTCATAGCAGGAATGACTGCAAGTGCACGCAAGGCAAACTCATATACCACAGTAGCTGCTTACAGTAAATATACACTAAATGTAGTATAGAGCTGTCTTGTTATTCTCAACTATGTTATGTTTGTATATAACCTTATGTTCCAAGTCATCAACTTGCCAACTTTCCACAAACCACTGACCATCATAGTAATATCCACCCTTGAAAGAAATCAATCTTATCCATCCATATTTTCCATTAATTCATTTCCCTTGATAACTTCATAAGAATTAATGTCTTAAGCCACGAACTCAACTCTTCATGTATTCGATGTTAGAAAATATGAAATCTGTTTGAAGTCTGCACAGTTGATTTTTAAAATAATTTCAGAATGTGTCCATTGAAAGATCATGATAATAGAAAGGAAAATGTGTGTCCCGAGATCTACCCCTATCTTGTAAATATTCTGATAAACTACCAATTATTTTCCTAAGTTTATACTGGCCTTGCCAAATCAAGCTGTGGTAATGCATGGGAGATCTAGTGAAACTTTGGCTGTATCTTTAAAGATAATTTTCTTTTTTATTATTTTTAAGTAACAACTGTAAGGAACAACAAAGCAATAACAAGCAAAATGTCATCACCTGCCATTTGTTACATTCACCAACCGCCAAACACCAACTGCCAAACACCAACTACAATAATGTCGAAGTACAACAGAATGCTCTTCTGGTGGTGACATTATAATAAAAAACTAAACCATCAGTCCAAGGATTTTTTACCACCATATTTTTTCGAGCTCAGGGCACAATCAATGGATATGTCATGATTGGTTGCCATAGTCTCAACTTGACAAAACACACAACATTATCATGTAAAATGTATTAAATACAAATCAAATATGATTTCCCATGTGGCTGAATTTTCTATATGACATTTACATTGAAAGGTTTTTGCCATAACATAAATATTTCCTGATGTAAAAACCTTACTGTAATTTGAATACCATTGCACATTTCCTGACTGCAGAAGTGTCTAAAACTGGCCAAAGTATAATAAAAATTAACCTACATACAATTGCTAGGAATTAATGTTGCTAAACAATGAAGATGTAAAGCGATCTCCTCTTTTTCCTCTTTACCAGAAATATTTCACACTTCTCTTAGTAAAAAATTCATAATAGTCAACAATTAGGTGCGAGGATCGTATTTCGGGTAAGTCTAGAATTTTGAATGTCAATACTTCTCACAGGAAATTAGCTTAATTAGCAGTGTCTCTCAAAGGAATAATCTCACAATTTTTTCATAGAAGGTGTCACAAAAGTAAAGTTACATTTAATGAAATTTCAAAAATATAAATATTGGTAACACAGGAAGAGTTCAATGTTTTTTTTTCATAAAAAATGTTATATCTATCTTGATCATATTAATGGTTTTTACCTCATAAAATGTATGTATCTTAACTAATAAAATAAGAGATTTTTCCAATGCTTGCAGAATTATACTATGATATCTACTTAAAACAGTGTAAGGATCATCCATGTAAGGTTTGACATGGTATATCATCCTAATATCTGTCCAAATATTCATCGAAGTATTGAAACGATCATTGAAATAAATATACATATTCCTCAAAACATCAGAACTTTTGAACATAGGGAAGATATTATCTTTCATATGACGATACCACAAATGAAAAAGAGAGGAATTGAAGAGGGTGAGGGAAGATATTGATATTTCCCATGGAGTAAACACTATACCCAAAAATGATGACAAGATCATCAGATAAAGAGTCTCATATTTTTTAAACAAGAAATGTTAACGAGAACTGTTTTACTGAATTCTGTTTAAATTAAACATTTAATTGATCAATGAATTGTTTAACATGTTTTATATCAATTACTTCTACAGCTAAACAAAAAAAACTTAAATTCAACTCTTTGGCTCAAACAGGAAATATCACACAATCCAACCCGAATCAAGTTGTCTTAAGCATTTGCACTTGAACATCTGAAACTGGCAAGGAAGTAAACGCTCATCTCAAAATTACTTTTTTGCCAATAGCTTAATCCTATCTTCTGTTATTAGATTAACAATCAACTTGCCCTTTTGTGAACATAGCCAATCCATTATGTCATCTTGTCTTATACGCTTGCATGCTCTTGATTTAACCTCCCCCCCCCCCGTTTGTTATCATTTTGCTGAACTCTTGGATTTTTCTTTTTCAGCTTTAAAAAGCAACCTGGTTTAGCAAGTATGACTCCTAGTATTAATAATAATAACTAGTAATAATAATACATTTAAATGCAAAACGTTACCACCTGCCATTTGTTAAAAATGCCAACCAACCAACACACGAACCAACACGAACCAACGAACACAGTCCACAAAAAAAATGGGAGATTATAACAAAATGTCATCACTTCTGGTGGTGATATAATAAAAATTCAGCCTTGAATTAAAAGAAAAAAATCAAACTAAGGTACATGTTTACCTCCTTGAAAAACAGAAAAATGAAAAATAAGGCAGGAAGAGCCACATCCTCCGATCACAAGGCTTCAAAATTCAGATTATATTCTTTCTTTTACCGCCTGCGATAAGCAGTTAGCATTTCCCCGATTAAGAACTCTGATTGGCTGTCGCAACACTGCGGCAGAAATCATGTATAAGTCATTGCGCATAATTAGATCACGTGATTCAGTTTAATCAGGTGCTTCCAAATTGGTTATAGCAGGGGGAAGAAGGAGGTACAGATTCTGGATACCTGCTTAGGAGGATGGAAGAGCCACAGATCACGATGTTAGATGAAAAATGACTTCCTTGGGATTTACAGGTATTTTGATCCTTGATTCCAAGGCAGGAGCTTGTAATCACCATCAGTGACTCAAAAAAGATTAAAATATGATTTATCATATCCCTCACTCATCTGGAGATCAGTTTGTTAATAAAACTCTGCAGTTTCACCTGAGATAAGGTCACATTCCATATTCAAATGTGATAAAAATCTACCTGGTCCAAAACTGATTATTTTTGACATTATTATCTCGGAATGTCATGTAGTCCATTAAGAGAGGGGAAACAAGAAAAAGAAACTTAAGGACAGAGCCAACATTTTTGAACCCTAAGCACAGTCAATTGCAGGTCCCCATCGTGTACTCTTTTGATGGTTTGGCCTTTTAAAAATGAGAGCTGCAACTATTGAATCTGTTACTACTAAGGCTTAAACATTTGAGCCATTTCTGCTTGAGACTGAGAACTTAAACAAGAAACACTTTAACCATGGGTTTTCCCTTGAAACCCCATGCTTCAACTAGTCAGAAATGTTGTATAAACATATGGTCACAGTTGAATGCTGTTTTTTGGTCTTCTAATCATGCCTATCTTGTTGAAAGAACACAGGGCATGATACTTGAATACCTGGTAGATAATACTGATAGTTCAAAGCTGATGTGCTACAATTTAACTAGTGGAACAAGTGAAAAATATAGTCTGAATCTAGGAATTAGAAAAAAGGTTTTTATGTTTGTATTAAGGATATATTCTAGTAATCATATTTTTCCCCAATGAAATAGCCCAAATAATGCATTATCTTAATTAGACCTTGAAATGAAGCACTTCTCTAGCACTAGATATACATGTATCTAGGAAAGAAAACATATTGCTCTCCCAAACAACATGGCACTGCATGATTAGTTGCTTGTGCTTATCCATGCATGTGTACCCTGAGCGCAGAGTCTAGTTTATAAACCACCCTCTGCCTAGTATAAACTATATTACAGTTTAGCAGCCCGCCCCAAAGATTGGTGCCTGTGACAGCCCAGGTCATAAATCATTTCAAATCTACCACACTGACCCCTTCCCAACGAATCAGCAAAGTTGAAGGAATACATGCTAAATATGTGCCCATTAACTATGCAGTGATGTCAGAGGAAATGACCATATAGAAAGTCATCCATATTTTGATGACGAACTCTGATTGGCTCATTGAGATCAGAGATTTATTATAAACTGAAAGAGTGAAGACGAAGCTCTCTTTAAAGAAGTGAAGTCGAACGAATGCAAAGGGTAATGCGTGTGTTATACTCTAAAATAGACATGGAATGTAGTGTAACAAATATAAGTTGGACATTTTGCTGCTTTTTCCTTGCTTCTTGCTAGCTAAAACCTCTCTTTTCGTGACATATTTTGCAAAAAATGAAAGATAAGAGATTTGGTTTTTGATTTCCAAGCTGTACTTGCACAATATGCCTTGAAGTTTGGCAAGAATCACTGTTCAATGTCTTTATTCTTGTAAGCTTCACATCAAATCTATAATCTCCAAGCTTCCCTTATATGTTGGTACAGTCCTCTATTTAACACACGATAAAGCAATGAATGAATGAATGAATGAATCAATGTTGGGTGTGAAATATTTAGAAAGGGATTTCAGGTTCCTGGAATATGTAAGTGAATACCATCTATCAAGGGCTCATCTTATGCAATCCCTTGGTTAAAGTGAAAACATTAGCCCCAGTCATGTCATGCAAGTTGTATCTTAAGAACAAGGCAATTGATTTTCTCACATTTCTCTATCCTTCAGAATGTTCTCCTCTGCTCTTTTTACATTATTTCTGCTCTTTTCATTCTTGTTCATTTTAAGAGATGACCAATCATAAGATTTCAGCTTCGGAAATGAATTGATGTATCTCTAGGGATTGAATCTACTATCTTGTAAATGGGCTCAAATTTTCATAAATATTTGAGAGATGATAACCCAAATATGAGAGATATTTTGCATTCTTGGATAATAGAGCCCAAATGCACTATGCAGAGAGTATCCCAATGATCAAGGGTATATTTTCAGACTATCCTTGAATTAGCAAGTGTTGATACACACTTAAAGATGAGTCCATTTACAAGGGTTACAAATTCCAAAGTTCAATGGATAATGCTATTGCTCTCCCCTGGAGTTGTGCATCAAGATTCAGGAATAGCTAAAATGATTCCATCCTAAAGATACTTACAATTATATGGATGGTGACATATTGCATTTTCCCTGATACTCTGTAGTGTTTCATAGCCCCATCTTTTGTCAAATTCATCTTTACTTCCATCTAAACGGACTACTGGGAGATTCCTAATATGTGGCCTTTCATTTGCTGACTGGAAAATAACAATTACACAAGGAATTAACATGCAAAATGTCACTACCTGTCATTTGCTACAGATGACAACCACCAAAACCCGAACACAAACCACCAACTCCTAAACACCATTCACAAAAAAGATAGAGACTATGACAATATGTCACCACTTGATATAAGAAATGCTAATGTGAATAAATTTGATTTTTTATGTTTTTGGTCTATGCATTTATAAAGACAATTAATATAGTCTCTGACTGAAAAACTTCAAGGCAGTAACTTGACGGAATGTTATCACTTTGTCGAAATTACAAGACTACAACAATTTGTTATCTAGAAGCCAAATTCTGATGCTGACAACAACTGCCAGTCACCAAGCAACAATTTTAAAACACATAATTCATATCATATGTGCTCATAGGACAAGGGTCTTGTATTCCCAATCTCAAATTTCCCCAATGATAAGTAAGGCCAAACTGCCATCTTTATTTCTTTTGAATATTATTTTACATGCTTACAGTTACTGCAGTAGTCTGGCTACAAGTTCCTGGGAACCCCTGCCCCTTCCACTACTTGACTACACTTACACAGGCGATGTGTAGTAGGAGGGGAGGGGGTAAAAAAGGCTTGTAGCTAGACTATCGGTGCAGTTGTATTATCACTGACCTGGAAGCCAAAGATGTTCAAATATGCAAAAGTTTTAATATTTCTACTCAACAATATGAATTTAATGTTTGTATCAAAAGTTTTGGCATAATTGTTCTTACCTCTTCAGATCTATGACATAGGAGATTCCGGGTATCTTGGGAGATGACACAAAATAATGGGTCCCAGATTGCACGTGGAGTATTGCCATCAGCAAAGAGAGCATCATTGGTAGAGTAGTCCAACTCTGAAAATAAACAACAAACAAATTCATATAATGTAAATGACAAATTGCAGCAAGAGGATAACAAGGCACTTACAAGCAAAATGTCATCACCTGCCATTTTTTACAGGCACCAAGCGCCAAACACAAACAGCCAAGACAGTTTGCTATTGACTACAGAAATGTCACTATCAATATTGACAATGGAATCTTACTGTCGTTTAGGCACTCATCAGTGCATACACGGACAGAAATTTTTTATATTCCCAAACAGACTTGGCAAAGATCAAACATGCTTTTAACTTTGGTTCGAACATATAGATGGCAGCAAAATAATAACAACATAATTAAAGTAGTTCCGGCAAACACAATGAATGTAAACACAGCAGAAGTGGAGGGTTTGAACATCTGTCATTTTCATTGTTAACTTTAGAATAGAATAATGTCAATACAAACTGCATACACCTTCAATATAATCAATGATATTGAACAAAAGGAATCGAGTTCTTGATTTCGAACTCATTCCAAGGGTTAAAATAAAATGATTTTATCTACAACCAGCATGTGCTACTGTAGTTATTGAGTAATTGTTTTATCTTCTTCGCTATAACAACACTTCAGACGATTACGTTTATTAATGTAATAGTCAGATAATAGGAGACTAACATTTGGAATGAAAACACTCATTTCATCACTTTGGATAATGACTGAAACCTGGATAGTGTTCTCGTCTCCGAAGGCCTCTCAGACAGTTTTCTAAGTATCACTCCATATGTTGAGTAGTTGAAAGGTTTGAGTTCTATGGTGAACACAAATATGAATTGAGGAAAGCTATTTCCTCAGATAAACTACTTTCTAGGGTATGTTCCTAATAAAATATGAGCACTTGACTGTCAAGATCAGCTGATGTCAGCTCCCTTCATATTCTATATAGATTAAAGGGGCAACAAAGATTATAGAGAGAAAATTCGAAAAAATTTATTTTTTCTCAGCTATCAGGTCAATATTTGGCTTAATTTCTTAAAATGTATGGGTAAACTATCAATTTCAGTATTAAGAAGTGTAAATTCAGTTCAAAGCTTCTATAAAGAATAACTTATATATTTTTGAGATCCACCACGTTTCAAGAGGAATTTCAGCTGAAATAATGTTCATCCAGGGGGTTTCTTTGTAGATAATAAAAATATATGTTAGTCTTGATGAAATATCCAAACTTAAATATATTTTGACACTGGTCCATGATCGTTGAATGGCCCTCCTGCACTAATTGTTGCACCTTTAAGCAGACATAATTTTAATTTATGCTACAAGTTAAATTACTAGTTACTAGAAGAATCTATTTTAGATAACTTGAACTTTTTGAAATGTGCCCCCCTCCCTTGGCAAAAGCTGGCTATTGCTCTGCATCACATGTTTCCGTTACAAACTAGCAATATCATTCTAAAAAGGAAGTGTTGAAAGGCCGTGATCTCGCTTGATAAAATAACTCAGTTGTCTGCAAGATGTGCTCAGAAACAAAACAATCTGTGATCCTGTTCAAATGAAATATTTGCACAATGAAAAAAAGCAAACAAAAAAGATTCAATTTTCAATACTTCTTTTACAGAAATTTCTGTTCACCATGTGTCATATCTGACTGGTTATTATGATATGCTAGACAATATACCCTCTTGGAAAACCGGGTTACAATCATAAATAAATTCCATTTATTTGCCAACCATTTCTGAATAACTACTTTTGTTCCCTTCCAAAATAATAAAATATGAATATCACAACTTTTTGCAAGGGATTATCCAATACATTCTCACCTGTGATGGATAACTCCCAGAAATCAATATACATTCATAAATTCTAAATCTACCTGTACATTTAATCTAAGATCTCTCATTATATTCCTGCCTTAACAATAACCTATAGAGAATGATGTACAAGAAAAATTACAAACTAGCTCATTCACCTGGTACGCATCTGTTGTAACAATAAAGAGGAATGAGCTCCTATTGTAAGATGTAAGTAATGAGAAATATGTCTCATTGTTATTCTATGTGATTAACAGGCTTAAAGGGAGTATAATGATGATGTAAATTAATGGTATGATTACATGGTAATGTTTCACTTTATTGCCATATATCAACATAGAGAATAGTGACTACATTAATCTATTACAAAAATTGTTCTATATTTTATATCAGTACAATTATTAACAACTAACTTCTTAGGGAGTCTAACCTCATGTCTAGGATTACCACAGAAGTGATGCTTACATCATGATAAAGCATGACATCTCATTTCTTCTCAGCCCTGAGATGTTTCAGGTGAAACAGAAAGATGCTATGAGTATCAGAGTGTAATGATTACAGTTTTCTTGAACTGGAAGAAAAAGATCAGTCATTGTGTCACTTAGAAGATATGAAAGTGAAAATGGTGTTATTGTATTATACTGTAAAGTGTATGTTTTCCTAAAGTCAGAATGTGGTGACTTGATAAAATTTATGTTCTCATCAACTTTGGAAGTATCTGTGAGACCTAGAGTAATGAGTCCCCACTAGTCTACCCGGACACATGCACACTCAGCAGCACAAGATGACGACAACATTTTTCCAAGTCTGATAAAAGCAAATTATTATGCTTTTTTAACTTTATACAAGCATTTATATTCTGATCAAAGAATCATCCATGATCTAAAGAGTACATATGGAGTCTAGCGCTTGCCCAGGGTACTCAATGTAAATCCTAACTAACAAGATTAAAGCAAAATACATCTATTTGTCAGCATTATAAAATCATTGTCATTCCATGCATAACAATTCATTTGCTTCTAATAACAATGATATTAGAAATGACTTCATTGTCTGAGAATTATGGTCTGAATTTATTGTAGGTATCACAATTCCCCACATAGCTTGGAAATTCTGTTTCTTAGAGTGTTAACTTTTGATCTAATGTCATCATGTAAAAGCTACTAGGAGCTGCACCTAGTTGTAAGTTCTGTTTGACCATTTTTATAGTTACAGATACCATTTTGATATTTTTCATTTTCTCAATTCATCTTAGATTCAATCTAATGAATCCTAATAAATGAATAATAATAGGGTAACGCTACTGAATCTAATATTTTTTCAAAATCTTAAAGTATTAGCTGCACTCTCCAAACAATCATAATTTCCGTTGGCATTCACAGAGACATTTTACATGCTCTTTTGGGGTCTGGTTATGGAAACTGGCAACTCTGTGTTTAGAAAGAACAGTAACCTTTTGTTTTGCAGCAGATAAAATTCCTGCTAAACTGAAATACATCCTAAAACATTCCTAACATGCAGTGAAACCAACAAACAATGAACAGTATAGTGTTGATGCCAATATTCTATGTGGATGTATACCATTGCATGTATAATGTCAGATGCATATCAATATCTAACTGTGGGGGTAATGGGGTAGAGGATCATTGAAATCATTAATGCTTATTTTGTAAACCAGGGGATCATCAGTTTCGAAGTCCTTATTTTCATCTCAACATAGTACAACCAAACCTTTCAGTTATGATCAGGTACAGAAACAAATTATGCTCAGTAAAATGTTTATACCAACAGAGAGGAAACAAAGAAGTTGTGGTGTTTACCTGGATAAGTTTTATTGTATTGCTAAATAGTCATGATGCCTTTCATGAACAGTGTTTATGTTATTGCCCAGTGTGAATGTTGTTGTTATTTATGTTATTGTTATTTACATTGTCCAATATGCTACATGATCATAGGTGAATGACTGAATGTTTTTATATCTCTCACACTAACTATTCATATTTTTTAACTTTAATTCACACATAAAAAATAATAAATAAAACATAAAAGACCCAAAAAATATTTTTCATGTTCATTGTTGATATCATGTTCGAATAACAGAAGTTCTAAAACCCAAAATATTTCACTTCCTGATTTCGGAATTTTAAACGATCAGCAAACTTTGTGGTGATACAGTGATCAGGAATTTCAGGAAAATAATTTGTCAAACGGTCAGTCTGATGTAAACCCCCGAGAAATAGCTCAAACAAAAGTTTCTATTCTCTAATAACATAGGGGGTGTAACTGTCAGTGTGGGATCAACAACCTCTACTCTATATTGTATGAGATAAAGCATTAGATAAAGGGACCCTGATAAATCAGAATCTCGTCTATTACATCATTCAGGGTGATTTTAATTTTGCGTGACAGAAGAAAGTACTTCCCTGATTATTTTTGAATTATTTTACCTATTATAGCTACTATCAAATCCACAGATGGGATGTCCCAAAAATAAAAATCCCAAGCACTGTACTAAATAGCTGAATTCTTAAAAACTACAAAAATCTCCAGGAAAATAATCACTCACAATTCCTACTGTTTGTTTGACTATGATTCCAAAATATCTTATATTTTTCATAAATAACATTGTTATTCAATCCATGCCACCAACATTACATTTTTGTCAGGTTTGTTTAAGTTTTATTATATGTTCTCATATTTTATAGGCCAACTGCTACAGAATGTAATTTAGAGAGGTACTATTGCTAGTAGTGCGTACTACCTGATGTGAATCTTTAAAACGTATTCTAGAATTTTTCAATTGATGTTCAGAAGCCATATGCTGGCATAATTTTAATATCACAAAAAATCATGAAGTGAAACTTGATATTTAAAGTACTTTTTCCTTTAATTTGGTACATTCATCACATTGAAGCAAAGTGAAAGCGAAATTAATAGTAATTCATTGTATGACCAAGACAGCACAAGTATTCAAATCTTGAAATTATACTTGTAAATGTAATCTCTTTTACTTATCAATGTTTTCAAGTAGGGTCTTCACTTATCCCTTCTAACAAATTTCTAAATTCCAAATTTTATTTGAAATAATTGTTCAAAAGGAATATAATACAGTAAAACCTGTCTAAGTTGAACACTTTTGATGCCTCAAAAAGTGTTCTATTTGGGGGGTGCTCCACTTATAGAGGGTTCATTTAATATTAAATCAGTTGGTCTTGGGACTGAA